CTTTAAGTGTCTAATATAAGTCAGCCAAAGTGAACTTTGTTCTCCTGATTTCTCAGTGTTTACGAACACCTAAACTGAATTTTTGGAGGTGAGTTCTGTGAAATTTTAGGGGGCAGAACAGTGTTTGGCTTTAAAACAAAAAAAGCTCAATACATACACAGGCTCCAGTTGTTAGGTTAATTATATTGTTAGCCTTTTTCTCTGTGAGTTGAGGTATTTTTTCACCCATTGAAATTCAAAGCAGAAGTTCTGGTTACCTATATGGCCATTGTGAGGTATTGGTTGTTTAAACAGGAGGCCTTTCAACTTCATGTTATAAATTACTGTAAGTGCTTCAAGTCCTCTAGAAAAAGATGAAATTAGAAAATGAACTTTTTGATGCAGCAGCACCACAATCTTTCTCTATGTATTTCTTCAAAGTTAAATGCAACCTCTGAAAGCAATTCATCTTGCTTAGCATGTTTTCCAATTGGGACCCTGGGGATTAACGATAGAATGACTCATTCACATAATTGGGCTTCTCAGTGCTTTTCCTCACATTGAAAGTTTCAACTCCAAGCATATAAGAAAATAAGAAACTAAGAAATGACCATCTGCAGTAAAAAGTCTAGAAAGGCATGTGGCTCAGCTTTGATAATGCTAAATGAGACTATTTGCTCTTGTTCTAATGGTAACAATGTCATGTTCTTACTGATAGCCTTGACTCCTGGGCGACTGCTTCCAATGTCTAACTTGTTTGTGTGTGAAATTTTAGATGTGTGTTATGATCAGAATGCTTCTGTGAGTCAGATTTAGCAATGGATGTTAGGCATTGGTAATTAATAACTTTTGATTATCATCAAGCTTCCCCTTTACATGAGCAGAAATAATTCTAATTATCTTTCTCTTAAACTTTTTCCCTAAGATCAAAGCAAAGATCTCATTTTACTGCTTTGCAGCTGTACTGGATATTGCACTGTGCTTCTCTGATTTTTATTTTCCCCCACTGCAGCTGTGGAAGAATGAGTTATGCCGTCAAAATTTATGTCTGCTTCAGCATGCTTGGTTTAATGGGGCCTTCATCTTTTTAGTATTTTTATGGAGGCTTGTGTAGGCTTGAAAGCTGTTTAATGATAAAAATTGTCAAGAGCTATGAAAAGAAATTCTAAGACACTCTCCTCTTTGTTGTCTGACTTTTGTGTGGGGAATGTGTGCAGGGCTTTCAATGAAATGAGAACAATCCTTGTGTGGAGGCTGCAGGTACCTTAGTGTGGCAGTTCACAACTACTGTTGGTGTGCAGAGCTGTGATCTAGACAGAACTTGTGAATTGTATGGTTTGAGCTGGAAGGGACCTTAAAGATCATCTAGTTCCAACCCTACTGCCCTGGGCAGGGCACCTTTCACCAGACCAGGTTGCTCAGAGCTCCATTGAGCCTGGCCTTGAACACTTCCAGAGATGGGGCATTGTAATGGTTTTAAGGACAGGCATCCACAATTTCTCTGGCCAACCTATTCCAGTGCCTCACCACCCTGACAGTAAAGGATTTCTTCCTAATATCTAATCTAAACCTACTCTCTTTCATTTTGAAGCCATTCCCCCTTGTCCTGTTGCTACATGCTCTTGAAAATAGTCTCTCTCCATCCCTCTAGTAGGCTCCCTTCAGGTACTGAAAGCCACAATTAGGTCACCCTAAAGCCTTCTCTTTTCCAGGCTGAACAATCCCAATTCTCTCAGTTTTTCCTTATAAGAGAGGTGCTGCATCCCTGTAATTAATCATCTTGGTGACCCTCCTCTGGACTCACTCTAACAGGTTGATGATGTCCTTCCTGTGCTGAGGGCACCAGAGCTGGATGCAGTACTCCAGGTGGGGTCTCAGAAGAGAGGAGCAGAGCAGCAGAATTGCCTCCCCCAGCCTGCTGACCGTACTGCTTTTGATGGAGCCCAGGGCTTTTTGGGCTGTGAGTGCACATTGCTGGCTCATGTCCAGCCTCTTGTACTCAAGCACCCCCAAGGTCATGGCAGTCAGGTGAAGTCTCAGGTGACTGGAAAAAGGGAAACATGGTACACATCTTTGAAAAGGGTAGGAAGGAGGACCGTGAGAATTACTGACCTGTCAGCCTCACCTCTGTGCCTGGAAGTGTCATAGAACAGGTTGTCCTGGAAGCTGTGCTTAAGGCCCAGGGAGGACAGGAAAGTGATTCAAGACATTTAGCATGGCTTCGCCAAGGGGAAGGCTGAGCTGGGAGTTGTCCGAGGCACTTTGGTGAACTGCACTTATTCAGCACTGGTCTCTTCTGCAGACAGGTGTCAGCCATGATCCCTGACAGAACACAGACTAATCCCTGCAGCTGTCTTCCTTCAAGAGTTTTACAGACAGATACAAGGTGGGAGTAGTGTATTCCTTCTTACCCTTTTACTCCAATAAAAAGTGGATCTTGTGTCTTGTGGTCAAGCGACTGATTTCATACCGTCTTTGGCTTGAGTGGATTCAGATTTTTATCCCTTGGGCAGTGCAGGAACTCTCCTTAGATGTGGTTGCTTGGGACAGTACTTGTTTCAGGGAGGCAATGAGTAGAACAGGGAACAATGGGAAAACATTCTAAATAAATATCCTTGGAGGAGAAGTCAAAACCTGGTAGCCTAGTTCCTTCTTTTAAGTGTATATACCTCAATCCTGGACTTCTCAGCCCAGGCGTGGGTGTTAAATATTGACTGAATGAAATTTTATAGGATTGTCTGTTGTTGTTTCTGCCTCAATTACTCCTAATCAGGTAGAATTGCAGTTTTTTCTCTGCTTCAGGGCAAAGTGACATTTCATACACTCTAAATAAAATACAGAATGGGCAAAACAGCAATGAGCTTGACTCAAATCTGTTCAATAAATCTTTAAATTCTACTAGCTCACAAGTATTTTAAAATAGAAAAAACGACTTCAACAGGGGAGTTAACTACAGCAAAGGACCAGTAGGACGATAAAGAGACTGCAGCCTCTTTCATATGAGAGGCTGAGAGAACTGACTGTTCAGTCTGGGCAAAAAAGAAGCCTCAGTGGGGAACTTATTACGTTTATAAATACCTGATGTGAGGATGTAAAGACAGAGATGGGCTCTTGTCAGTGGTGCCCTATGGCAGGGTAAGAAGCAATGGGTACAAGTTGAAACACATGAAACTACATCTGAACATAAACCTCTTGCTGTGAGATGAACACTGAATAGTGGATGTGTAAATTCACTGAAATTCCCTATGTTAAAATGTTTGACTTATAAATTAAATCACCCGGCCAATGCTTTTGAATGTCTTGGATTACTATTGAGTCAAACAGCAATGCTCTGCTGAATCAGTTTTAATTGGGTTTAAAATGTCACCAGCTTGGTTTGGTGTACTGCTGTAGGTCTGTGTGGGAAAACAGGTTTAATCGCACTCACTGGACTTGAATTCGATGATAAAATCTCCTTACAAAGGGCGCGTTTGTCTAACAGGGTCTTGCTTTACCAACTGCAAAGCTGTTCTGGAGTTGAAAATGCCTGCTATTTCTGTAAGCAACTGTTATGATGCTGCTTTGTCTTCTGCTGTGGAGTATAACCTGGGTGTTGCATGTTGCCTAGCAGCACAGTTCTTGTGAAGACAAAAAAGAAAAAAAAAAAGGATATTCTGATACTTTCAACAAAATGTTTCCTTATGCTGACTTGGAATTTCATTATACAGCTACGAAACATTGTTCTTTTTCAGCATGATCTATGTTAGCCTTCAGTTCACAGTACTATGAATAAAAGTACATTTAAGTATTGATATTGCTGTCCTTCACACTTATAAATTTTAAAAATCTGTTTTCAGGCTTTTCTTCTGTAAATGAATAACTTTAGAAAATGTATATGTAAGGCAGGCTTTCATCTTTACTGGGAAACCTTATCAATTGAGAAATGACAAAAATCTGTGCAGTATTTTCTTCTTGCTGACTTCCTAAGGCTCATTCCTACTGAGAAGGAGGTATTAAGGAATCTTGAGCAGAACTGCCACTAAGCTTAACCTTCATAGCTTAAGAAGTGATCTGAATTACTACACTGTGTGATACCCTCTATTCACAGTTCTGTAAGATTCACCTAAAGCTATTCAATAAGAAAATACTAACACTTAAGCTGATGTACAAAGAGCTCTTATCAGGATGAATATTGCAGCACAAAGCCAGAATGTGTTTTCAATTTTAAACCCGTTGATTTTTTAGCCTTTTTACATAAAAAATGAGATTGTTATCTGCATATGGGCAAGTTACCACTGAGGAATGTCTATGCCTGGCTCTTTGGCTCTGTCCTATGATCCATCCATTTCCATTACATAGCTGCCAAGCTGGGAGTTGTTCCATTTTGTACATATATGGCATTCCAAATACAAATCCAGTACCCTGTTCTGCTAGATGGTGGAAGGCTGAGGCTTAGCTCTCAGGACTGAGAGAATCTAATATTGTACCTTTCAGGCTACAGAATGTTATGATAAAATGGAGATGGAGCTGAAAGGATTCCAGGCTATATTAAAAATGTACTAATGTGCCAGGAAATCTATTCTGAACTTAAAAAGCATCCCTCAAGCAAGAGGCAGAAGACACAGGTATTATTACTTTAGCCTACCATCAGGGCAAATTTATGCCAGAGAACTCTGTTAAAGGCTTTGTTCTTTTCTAGTCAGAAAAGCAGCGGGATACAGGCAAACCATATGCTGTCTTGACTTCTGCAAGGTAAATTTCTAGCGTGAACTTCATGTAAGAAACTACAATTGAAATATAATTGCATAAAAACACCAATGTATTTAGCACAAACTCAGACACTGGCACAGACATTTCAGCATGCAGGTGCACAGTCAAGGGACAACTAGTCATGAAAATATTCAGGTGATAAAGCAGGGGAGAAACTGATTTAAAGAGCTTCTGGAATTTTTTGTAAATGTTTGGGACTTCATAAAAAATACTCAGTAATTTACATAGTTGATATTATGCGTTTAAAGAAAAATGCAAACTACCGAGAAGGCTACTGCAGGTTGATACCCATCAATCTTTATTCAGACTGGCCCGATTACTCTTAAAAACACCATTAAGCAGACACACACTGCCATCTCGTGAGCATCTCTAACACAGCTGCAGGCTGATTTCAGAGGAGAGGAAAATGAGCTGCTTGGAGCAAGTAACTTAATACAGTACAAAACATATACAGACTTAAAAAATGCTGCACTGAATGCTTTGTCAATGGTATATTATATAACAGAGATACACAGAGAAAAGCTAAAGTATTTCATTAATAATTTATTGTCAGTAAGAAAGACTGGCTAATGGTAATTTTCAGTAAAAACCTTTACAAGACCATTGGATCACAAATATACAGACACTATAAAAACTGTGTCATGGTGGTTTTGGTTCTAAACTGGTATGTAGAGGGTCCCCAACACACTTTCCAAGAAGGGAAAAAAATGTTTATAGTTCTAAAATACAGCAACCCATTTAAGACATTTCCATATAGCTGACCCAGAAAAATATCAGACCTAACATATGTACAAATGAAATTGTGTGAATATGTTGAATGTTTTAGAATGAAATGTCAAACCTTGTGTTTTGGGGGAATACACAGAGTGATGCCCTGACTATAAGTCAGGGTGCTCATTTTTAATGGCACACTAACACCACTAGTTTCAGTGGAAAACAAATTCACAAAATATCTACAAAATCTAGTTAAAACTATTAAAATCAAAACTGTACATAAAATTTACAAAAAGTAGGAGAAAATTAATTGTATTAGAACTATATAAATATATGCATCATGCTAACATGGAGAAATGGTATGTGATTTTTTTAAACATACACAATTGAAGTACAAAAAGGATGTTCAGAAATGGCACAGCCAATGGAAATCTTGGAACTGTCCAATTATAATAGGTTAGGAAATGGAAAGAGGCTGATTTAGTGAAATGAATTGCATGATCCAATGCTGCCATGCCAGTTTAGCTCACTGAAACAAAAGCATTCACTGTGGCTGGGAAAAAACCAGAAAAATAAAAAAGCTCTTGAAAATTGTTCTAGATTTGATAAAGTTTGTTAGAGTCCAGGCACTTTTGTTGGGTGTGTCAGACTTCTGTATGTTGCTGGGAATCAAGTGGAGGAATTTTCACATCTTCAATATGACTGTCATCTCCACTCTCATAGTCACTCATCATGACTTCAGACTCCATTTCACAGCATGCCGACACATCCGAGCAGGAAGCTGTGGAAGCATACACAGACATGGACATGTTGTCTACAGTGGGTGCTTCAAAGTCTCGATTGTACCCTAATGTGTAAGGAGCGTAAGGTTCTCTGTAACTGCCACTGACGCCACTGGTTGTGGTCTGAGGTTCTGACATGTCTGCAGGGTAGTGATGGGGAAGGTACTGATTAAGGTTAAACCTCTGCCTGCTTCTCGTAGAAGAACCCAAGCTACCTACGGCTGGCATGTCTCTGGGTGGCTGTATTGACTCAAACTGGTCGCTGTATTCAGGTGGTAACGGTGGAAGCTCATCAGGTGCAGGGAAGTCGTCAGGTGGAGGTGGAAAATCACTTTCTATGTCATAACCGCCAGGGTAATAGTCTGTATCGATGGCATTTGGATCTGTGTAGAGGGGAGCTGACTCCTCAACCACTTCATAATTTGGATACTCTTGGATACCTGGCAACTGAACACTTGGCATCCAGTCTGATGTATCCCAGTGGTAACCTGAAAAATTAATTTAGAAAAAAGAAAACTAGTATTACTATCTTGTATTCTAGTCAGTCTTAACTGAGAATACACTGAATACATGTATTAAGACAAGGCAATCAGTGTGATTAGGACACTACTTGTTAATCAGAGAGCAGTTTGCCCTGGTTCCACAAAAAACATTCAACACAACACAACTTTACATTATGCCATGCATTAGACAGTGCATCATTCACACTTAAACTTTTACATTTTCTCAGACATTGCACCTAACATGGGAAAAGCTGTAGTCACCTATGGAATGTGCTGTCACAATGGTTCACTGGATAGCAAAGAATCAACAGCCTCCCTACTGCAGCTAAATTCTTTATCAGTTTTTTGTTGAGTAATTAGTTAGGGTGAAAACAACAGCCTGTTTTTCTTACGAATATATTTAGTATATGTAACCCATGACCTTTTTACATAAAAGAAGTAATTTCTAATTGGTAAAGTATTCAGACCATTAAGAGTGACTTTACCTCTTAAGTGAATTATATAGTTAATTTTACAAAATGCTGTTACCTCTACAGTAACTGTTACACCTCTGATAAAAATCTCTGACTATTAGTAAAGACATTCCACATTCAAATACAAGAACAAATACAAGCTTAATCATGCATAAATGACTGAATTTGATCCTCTCTTGCAAACTGCCCTTGAATAAGTTTGTATTTGTCTACTGGAAACTAGATGTAAGCCTAATCTCATTAAAAACCAATCACTTCTCTCATCTGAACACCAATAAAGAAAATAATACACAATTGTAATATAGTGCAAATCCAGTAAAGAGTAATCACTGCGGACAAATGCACAGCAAGCAACTGATAGTAAGTCAGTGTTAAAATCAAATATTAAAAGAAATATTGTGGTGAACATCAATGAACTGCATGCAGAAGTCACCTCTTGAATTGCTGAGGTCAGGAACAGCAAAAGATTCTTTAGATGGCAGAATGAGAAGAAAAAGGAGAAAACATCTGTAGTTAGGAATCAAATAGTAGAACCAATATGATTGACAAACAATGACTGTCACTATAATGTTCATGCTGGTTTTGTCCAGTTTACTTAGCAAAACTAAAGTTGGCTTTTGTTTTTTCCTCCTGGACTCCTTATTTGCTAAGATTTGAACTGCAGGACAGCTACTGAGTTAATGTACAGCCCAGCTGGGACACGGCTGTGTGGTGGCAAACTCTGCAGTCTGTAGTTTGCTGAAATCCTCATATCAGTAGAATTAGGACTCCTACTACAAAGGGTAACAAGCCTTGATCTGATTTTTTTCTTTCCTTGTATCACCCCTTGTTTTTCGATACAGGGCTGCATCTATTAGGACTTATACTTGCAAGTATCTCATGCAAAGAAAGTAACTCTCCCATTAGTGTCTAGCTTCCATACACAAAGCACCGGGAAACCTGCTTCCCTTTGTGCAGCAATTCCAACAACTCATGCTCAGCAAAGAACTGTCCTGTGTTATCTGACGAATTTTAAACCTTTTTCTCTTCAGGAATCTATATTCCCTATTCAAATCTGTAAGGATGAGCAATGCCTATCCTAATAGCAGAATCTTCTCCTAAGAATTCGTACTTTCATCTATTCTTGGAAAACATCTATTCTTGGACAGAAGTTGACTCTTCGGTGGGGAGTTCCTCTTTTTTTAAGTTTGCCTAGCCCAGACTAATGGAGATATCAGTCTGAAATCTGAGACTTTTAAGCATCTTTGGCCTCATCTCCAGGAGAAGGTTCTGACCACTAGTCTCCTTAGAAGACTAGAAGACTCCTTTATTTTTCCAGGAAAACTGACTGCAAAACTAAACCCATGTGGTGGTTTGGAAAAAACCTTTCCCCCTGGGGCTGGTGATAGTCTGCCCCAGAGATGGTGTTTTTGATACTGAACCAATTAAAAACTTAGTGTGCCCTGCGGAAATTACATACTCACAGAACTGGAAGAGAAGAGGTTAATTTTAATTGCGTAGCTAGAAGCAGAAGCAGCCATGCCTTGAAACGCCACATGTTAGAGGGCGGCTGGGGGGCCTTTGCCCCTGGCTCCTGGCCAGGGGGGACAGGAGCAGCACAGTCACTGAGTGAAGCCCCCCTCCCTGAAGTTGGTGACCAAGGGGGTCCCCGAAAAATCGGGAAGACCCCCTGGGTTGCATCTTCTTCCCTCCATCGCAGTGGGGGGGAAAGAAAAGCAGCGGCAAAAGTAGCACAACAGAGAGCAGTGGCCGTGAGCCAAGATGAGCTCCTGGCCAAAAGACAGTGCAAAGGAATTCCAGGAGCAAGAGAAAATAGTAGATGAGCAGCAAACATGGCACGGACCAGATCGAGAGATGCAGGGATGTCCGATGGGGAGAGAGAGAGAGAGAGAGAGAGAGAGAGAGAGAGAGAGAGAGAGAGAGAGTCGGTTGGAATCAGTTCTAGGGTAAGGACTAAACTAAAAGCCCTTAGAACTCTTTGACCCTGGGGAGGAGGGGTGGAAATCCCTGAAGAAGTCTCCCAAGCGCTTGGCCCCAAGGCCGGAACCTTCACGGAGAAAAAGCAGGGGATAAAGACTTTAAACTTTAACCCCCTGCACTCTGTGCTGCAGACATGGTGACGCGGGTGTTCCCTTGAAATCCACGGTAATACCCTCGGACGAGGTGGCTGAGGAGCGAGAATTGGGGGCAGACCCCCCCACCCCTTAGAAGAAAGAAGAATTCTAGCTACAACAAATCAACACTGCTGCCTTAAAGATAAGAGACACTTCCAAGTGCCGTGGAAATTAATTTGGAAGAGCTGTGGCCTGAAAGTGAAAAGAAGACTTCTTCTTCTTCTTTCTTTCTGGACTTTTTTTGAAGGAAAGGAGAGACAGTCTTTGTATATATATTGTTTCACCATAGAAGAGATAGTTAAAATTGTTATATATATGTATACATATGTATTATAGTATTTATTGTGTAAGTAATAAATTGTAATATAATTCCCTTCCCCCATACTGAGTTGTGCCTGTCTGAAAACTTCTCTACACACATTAGAAGAAATTGTAGAAAAACTTTTGAAATTAGCTTTTTGAAAATTTTTTTTTCCAAACCACCACAACCCAATAGGTACACTTTGGTCTTAGGATTTAAAGCACTTTTACCAAGAATGGGGAGCTCTTGGTTTTCCTCTTCTTCTGAGGCAAAGACTCTTTAACATAAACAAGATCTTGATGTGCCCATCTTTCTAGGTGACAATCTGCTAGACTAGGGCTATATTTCCTCTTGCACTCCATCGCTAATTTGCATTGAGCTACAGTCTGAGGAGCAGTGCAGAGAATGACAGCCTAAAACTATTCTAGGATGAGATTCATGCTTCCCGGATACCTCTTGGACAGAAACACTTGGGGAGACTAAAGGTAAAGACCATCTGCCTGAGAACTTGACCTTGCTGAAGGCTTGAGCAAGGATCTTTGCTGCTCGAACCGGCACCCTCCTGAGGGTGCTCAAAAGCAGAACTCTTTACCTAAGATACTTTAAAAGAAGAAATGCTTATTAAAAGTAGAAACTTTAAAGTGTTAAGAAGCAGCTCAGCAGAATATATTTAATGTCTCTATGACTACAATGCATAAAGTCTTCATATTTATCTTACAGTGATGCTAAACCATCAAGTAATACTTTCAACTTTGACTTGAAATTCCATAATTTTTAATTTTTACTAATTAAAATCTTCAAGAAAATCTGAATAAATTATTAAATATTTCCACTGATAGATTTTGCCTCTTCTAGTCTTGGAATTTTTCCTTTCCTAAGTCCTCTGCATTGCAATTTTTTAGCACTGAGGACTACAGCCTATAGGTAAACAGTAATGAAATGCTCTTGTGTAATTAGAAGTCTTTGCATTTGTCTACTTTTTTGTGTTTCTGCATAAATTAAATGTAGGATGTACTTCAGATAACAAACCAAAGAGAATCTTCAGCTACTATAATCAATTTTATGTTCTAAAAATGGCTTCATTTTAAATAGGACTTAGTAACAAACATTAGGTTTCCTAGTCTGTATCAAGAAATAGGAAGCACACATTGTGGATGTTATTTCAGAAGTAACCTCTGCAAACTCATGGTCACGGAGTGAATTACTTGCCTGTGACTGGAACTTAAAGTATTATGATGTCAATTAAGTCAATAGTTAGCATTTGTATAGACTCACTGGTACTTCTATTACTACTATTATTTTGTGATGAGTTTGTGTTTTCCAGAATGGTTAGTTCTTAGCAGGAATGAAATAAAAGCCCATTGATAATGTCTGCTTTGCCTCTTTCTAACTTCCAAATACATACTACACACACACAAATAAATGCATGTGTACATACATATACCCAAACATACCTTTTAGGTACCGTTGTAAGGCTGGACAGTAAAAAACTACTTAAACTGACAGGGATATGCATGCCTATATACACCAGCTGCATACTAGAAATCAATTTTTTCTGCTTAAGAGACAGATTGATCTGAAGACCAGGGAAGTAAGTACTGATACCAGAGTACTCCGATTCTGCTCAGCTGGACAATGTAACAACAGATGTGGGTGGGAGAAGAAAAGGAAGAGAAGGCTGCTGCTTTTTCATCTACAGTACTGTATGTATTTGCCTTCGATGCTGTCTCAATTCTGCTGGGAGCCTTAGTGTGAATATTTTCAAAAGAGAGTAAGCACCAAGATCTTTTTATGCCAATACTTTTTTTTGCAAGAAATCACACATTGAAACTGTTTCACAGGGCAGCTGCAGCATATACAAGAAAATATTAACAGATATACAATATAAATATATTATTTGCTAAAACTTATCAGAAAGTCTAAGTATTTATAATTCACATCTGCTAGGGGTACATTACTAGAAGACAATACTAGAAGACAAACGTGCATTATTCTGCCAAAGCAGTAAATAAATATGAAAACATGTATATACCTTCTTTTTCCACCGAGTCAACAACAGCATTGACAAGGTGTATTACAGTCACTATGGAAGCTTGTAAAAGGTATAAAAGGAGCAAATTAAACCAAACCTAGAGTTAATATCACTTTAAACAACATACAGATATAAAAAAACACACTGAAAATTGCAGTCCATTACTATTTTAGAGAGCAAGATTATCTAGAAAGCAGTTGCATATAATAAATAAAATACATCTCTAAATCTCAACTTTGTTCTTGCTAAACATGCAGAAGTATTGTAACTACTCCTGAAGCAAACTTTGCATGGGCAAAGCTGCTTTGCAAAGCTGCTTTAGTTGTGTTAGAATTTCCTAAATGTTGCCTAAACATATTTGTTTGCGTAATACTTCATCTACATAGCAACAAACTAGACTTTTCTATAGGCTTGAGTTGGGTAAATTAAGGAGTATTGCATTAGACTTCCCCTTTAAAAATGAGAATTACATTCCCTTCCCCCACAATGAAAGTTAAAGGAAAGAAATTTTCACTGAAATGAATTAAAAGTTGAGAATATGAAACATATCTACTCAAAATTTCTGTTGTTGACCTTAAGTTGTGTGTGAACTGTGATATCACAGTAGGAATACCAAATTCAGGGTGTTACATTGTTATTTAAAAACAACAAAAATGAATGTATTTTTATGTCTTCCCTTTCCCAAGATACTTCTGGTAGGGAAAAGAATTTACTATTATAGGGTAGGATGAAGTAAGCACATGCAATTTGTTTGCATGGCTCAGGAGTTGAATTTCAAGCTAATAAATTCTGAATCTACCAAAACAGAAGGAAGCAACAGTATCTATGATGCTACAGCTATTTCTCTTAAAATGATGTATTAATGAGTAATCAATACATGACAAGAAATGGGAGTAAGAATATATGAAATATATGTGATGGAGAGGAGCGGAAAACAACATGTACAATACAACACTTAAAACCACAGGAAAAAGGTTGAAAGTTGGTATCAGGTCTATTGATAAAATGATGAGGACTATAAGCATACCATTTTACTTTCACCAATCATTAACACAGATTTTTTTAATGCTGTTAATAACAAATCACTCTACTTCATTGAGAAGCAGAATGTTCTTTATTCCTAAGCTAAAAGAATTTCAAGTTCTTTTTACCACACAGAGACAAAAGCAGAAATTGGAATAAAGAGTCAAAACGCCTTAACTTAGTGAATTAAGTTATGAGACAACTGTGGCTTTGTCCAATCAGCATGAAGTGTTTCTGAATACATAGATGCATTCATATCAACTGTAAAAGCATCTGTCATCACAACAGAAAAATAAAAGACTTCCAATTAATAATAATCAAACCCACAAATATGTATGTTGATTATATTTTGATGGACTGGAGTTGTGATCAAAATAATTATATTTTTATTTTTATATTGGCTTTTTTATTGTATGAAATGTTTTTATTCATTCATTTTAATCATGGTGAAAGCCAAATATACTGTTCTATTATAACAAAATTCTTTTTTGTTTAGCTTCCTTCATTACTAAAGTAATCAAACTTACAAGTAGTCCCTTAAACTCTGCTCTCACTCAGAACTGATCTGATCCATATGGGAGCTGAGGTCGCAGCAAGAAAAAGAGAAGGAAACAAATGAAACTGTAACACCAGAAAGCTTTTTCCTGAGAGCTGAACGGCAAAGCGAAAGTTATATTTGTGCAGAGGCCATCGTTTAAATTCACTGTATTCTTGCATAAGGTGATAACTAATGATAACCTAAAAAGAGTTTCTCAAATTTTACCACCTTTTAAACACAAGGCTCTGAACACCCTGGGCTGCATTTTCACTGTAATATTCCAACAACAGAATGATTATATATAATTTTAAGGTAAAATACTTAACACAAAGTGTAAGACAGGTAAAATACTTCAAAAAAATTAACAAATTTGGGTATTAACATAAGTAAATACAGATATATATTAAATAAGCTACTATTTAATATATACTCAATATATGTAAGTCTTATTGACATTAAGAGATATAGATGCAAAGACAGAACAAATGAACTTAAGTGGCAGTACAGAATGATTGCATTTTACATACCATTGTCATCACACGATTCAGACTGGAAGGAGCTGAGAGATTGGACCTCAGACATGCTTTCTCTAGCACTATAAGGATGGGAGTTCTTTTCATCCAGAGGCTTTTTAGAAAGGCAGGGGTCAAGATCTACTACTTTAGCTGAAAGAAAAAAGTTTCAATTGAGACGATTAATAGATTGTAGGCTAAAGAGTCAATAAAATTTAAGGCTGAGATCTACACATTTTTACAAAACTTAATAGAGCATGAAGCCTGATCCTATTCATAACCCAGTAAAGTCATAATGTTTTCGTACCCTAACAGACATAGACAGTGTTTGCACTAATATTAAAATTATACCAGCACATGCATTTAGCAGAAAAGAAAAAATAAGAACATTTCTTACTATCATAGTCAAAATCCCAGCTGGGTTTCTGTATTGAATCACTGTCTGAAGGTGAGTTGGAGGGAGGTGGAGGTGGCAAATTTGGTGCTACACTGCAAACAGCTACAGCTTTTCGGTGACCATGTACAGAATCTGGGTTAAAAGTACTAAACTCTGGGTGCTCAGGGATAGCAGACCCCTCAAAAGAATTCCTGTCAAGGTTGTTCCTGGAGTCGCTTGGAATGCTTGGAGTGTATGAAATGGGACGAACAGGAACCTGTGGTGGAATGTCAGAATAGATGTTCTTATTCAATTTTGCATCAAAATACGGTCTTTGCAAGAAGGCTGTTGTAGCTCCCAGTTGTTTGTCTTCAGGTTCTGGCTGGTGCTTCTTCTTTCTACTAACTACTTTGCGGCAAACAACAAAAATCACAACTAACAGGAAGATTCCTGCGATGAAAACAATAATCCCAATCACTTCAGCTAAGCTAATGTTCCAAGATGTTGAAACGTATTTATTAAGAACAATGTCTGTGCAGTGTTTTCCTCCAAATCCACGACTACAGTTGCAGTGATATGAACCGTAAGTATTTTCACAAAGGGCACCATTAAGACATGGGTTTTCTATGCATTCATCAACATCAGTCAGGCACCTATCGGAAACAGAAAAGAACAATGATGTTTGGTTTACATTAGTAGTCTTTGTTGTAATCTCCTTGTTCTCAACAATTCTGGATATATGTAATATAGAGTACTGCACACTATCAGGCAACATCTGAGATTTCAACCAGTTTGAACTGTTATGTAATGCTATTAAAATTCAGTATGTGGAACACTACCTACCTTTCTCCACGAAAGCCTGCTTCACACTCACAAACAGGTCCATCCAAACTGTCAATACATTTGCCACTGTTTTTACATGGATTGTCTTTGCAATATGGACCCAGCTGGCACCTGCAAAGCCAAAACAAACAAACAAAAGTGCATGAATGAACCATTACTTTACTGTAAGTGAGTATATAGTGTGGGATTCAGGCTGTAATATAAGAGCAATCATTAACTTCAACTAACTCCAGGGGGTCTCAAAGTCAGCTTTAAGTAGGAAACAGATAAAAAAGGAAACAGAAACAGTGTTACATTTGTAGCCTGTTCTCTAAGGGGTTCATTGATACAAAAACCCCATACAAACATACCTTTGACCTGTGTATTGTCCTCGGCACTGGCAGATAAAATCATCACTGACCGGGATGCAAGTCCCACCATAAAGGCAGGGGTTGGAAGAACATGGGTTGACACTTACATCGCAGTGAGTTCCCATAAACAAAGGTAAACACTTGCAGTAGTAACCTGAAATCAAATACAGTCTTTTTCAAAAAGACGCACATGGTTTTACTGAATTTGAGATAAAATCCTCCCTGCCCACCTACCTGTTCAAAGACATAGAGGATGGGAAAAAATAGAAATATTTTTTTTGAAAGATGAAGGAAAGTCTAACAGTAAGGTTTATCTTGAACCTGATGGATGGACAACTTTCATCTCTCTCACAATACTCACGTTGTCACAATTATTTCAGAATTTTTAAAGGAAGACTCTAAAGTAGGCAGTTAAGAGGACGGACCTCAGGTCGTGACACTGAAGATTAAATCCCCACTTTGCCAGATGGACTCTTTTACTTCACATCCCAAGGAATTGAATTTAGAACACAGGCAGACAAGAGCCTTCCTACCTGCTCAACAACCAACTTTCTACAGCTCTCTGGGAAAGCACGAATTATGCATAAAGTTGTTTTGTCCTTCAAAGCAGGGAAGCTGAAAAGCAGTTTTGAAAACTGAAAGCAGAAGAATATAGCACAGCTTACCTCCATTTGACAGTGCGTTGCAGATGCCTCCATTCTGACATGGGCTGCTTGAACAACCATCTGTGGTAGTCAGTAAGCATCCAGGAGTGACATCCACAGATTCTTCCATGTGTGCATAATTTCGTGGCTTGCTGTTTAGGGGCAGCTCTTGTCCATTAAGTACAACAGAGTCCATACAGCCTCTGAAACCATTGCTAACCTGAGGACTTCTACCATGTCTTGTACCTTGCTGACGAATATGACCACCAAAAAACACATGATTATCTAAGTTTAGTGTCCTAAGTGTACCAGGAGCAGTACCAGATGCAGTATGCACCCTATCCAGAACCAGTCGGGCATAGTTTCCGTCCACTTCAAGAGATACTGAATGCCACTGGCCATCATTTATCTGAATGCTCTGAACAGAGACAATCCCAGGTCCACTGCCACAATCAAATTTATATTGCAGTCTTCCATGGTGAATCTACAGAGGAAAGCCACAACACCAATAAATGGTCTGCATACTTAAAGAGTATGGAATATTGATGCCTATAAAAGTTTATGTTTGCTGGAAAGACAGGATGATGGTGGTGTTCATAAAAGGCAGTTTAATAACATTGTTTTCCAAACAGTCACAGCAACTGTGATTCATTCAATATAGTTCTTTTAATTAAAACCTACACTTTGTACAATTTTTTCCTCTAGTAAAGAAGTCACAGATCATAATCAAAAACTTACAATACTTCAATACCTTTCATCTTGTGCCTTCAGTATTATAAGCAAAAAAATTTAAAGTTGTTGCTTAAAAAAGGTGATTAGTGAAGCTTTTTTTGTTTGTTTTACTTTTAAAACATTAAAGAAAACAAATTCCTTTTACTCATTTAAAAAATTCTGTACAAGTTTATCACCTAGATGTATAACACACCCTACCTTCAAGGCAATTACCAATTATAACAATTCTACAGAGATGTTATGACTCAATCTTTTAATTTGGCACAAAAAATGGTAAGAAGATGGTAGGAAGAAAAGAGGAAATATGCACTTGGAGATTTTAGCATACCTCTAAGATACTGTAGTCTGTTCCTCGAGCATACATAACAACTGCATGAGCAGAGTAAGTTCTAAGTCTCATTGTCAGCTTCATTTCCTCTTTGTTCTCAGTTTCCATGAGACGGTATTTTACATAGCTGCTCCCAGTAAATGTCACAGCAGAGCCAGCTGGTGCTTAGCAATACAGAAAAGTATAAAATGTATTAGCACATGACTGGAATCAAATTTATATTTGGAAAATAATAGACTTTTTTAGAGTTAATTCCTTACCAGGACACTGTCTAGCTTTGCTGTCTTGGCAAACACAGGTGTATTTTCCTTCCTTTGGATCTCCTAAACATTCAGTACCTTCAGGGCATGGGTTTCCTTCACACACACTATTCACCAGGGGGCATTTCCCTTCTGTAAAACAAAATCCATTATTTCTTTTCTTTCGGCGGTAATACTGTTTTGTGAAAAGGGACTCTTAAGTACAGTAGTTGAAAGTAACTCAAATAATATTCCTAACTATCAGACGTGAAAGTGAAGTAACAGTTACAGGACATGACTGGCACAGATTAGACAAATGGCATATAGAGTGGTTGATGTTCATCCTTATCTTGACTACTCAATTTAATTGGTAAAAGTGGGAAACTGGTGTTGTGGTTTAAGGTTTACCATTACTATCATTCACCATAAAACCCAACATGTCGATATTAAACATGGACAGAGTGAGTTGGGGGGAGCAGGAGAAAAGCACGTCTGTATTTGAGACAGAAAAGGAATGGGCTTTAAATATTTACTTCATATGTGCAAGTTCACCCAGCAACGTTAAGTCTTGATTTTAAAAAGCAATGTTGTTTTCATCTTAGCTAAAGACAAATTAATATTCTGCTATAAATCTGTATGCTTATATGTATTTTAATAAATATTAATTTTCCACATCACCCTGTCATTCCCAGCCAAGTTTGGAAGCTGTGTGGGCCACTTCCCTAAGCAGAAACAAGGAAGTATTCAAGGAACTTTTCAAGAACTTACCTTTGTGCACACAAGACTGAAAATGGCCATCAATATAGAATAGGGAACAACAAAAAAAAATAACTTCTACCATAAAATGGAAAACAAAGGTGTACCCATAAAAAAATAAAAATCCACTCCCATAAGCTTATATTATGTAAGCTCTTAAAATAAGGTAATGAAGTAAGAATTACTCTTTACTCTGAAAAAAATTAGGCAAATGTTGCAGCAAGGATTACAGAACATTTTTAATCTTGTCCTGTAATATAAAATTCCACACATGCATTATAGCTTTTTAAAACCAGAATAATCTTTTCAAGGATATGGTTCTCCTTACCTTTACAAAGACAAACTGCTCTTCTGTGATGTCGGGGAGTGACAAAACTCAACCTGGCTGTGCTGTGCGTTGACATGATGTTCTCATCCACTGTTACTTTTTCTTCACAAAATTTCAAAGGACAATCTAGGCCTGCGCAGAGCTTATGAAACACATCAACTATCCGGACACCTAAAATCTCCTCTAGGTCAGGCACAGAAGAGTTTATCTTGTGGAGCAAAATTCTCATTGGGTGGTGAGAGCTACCAGATTTTTCAATATTCAGGAGGACATCAAGATTTGAGGGAGGATCAGAAGGCTGCAAACTAACAATCTGGATGTCATTTCTCCTCACGCCCAAGATGTTTCTTAACGCTCTCTGGAAATTGCGCCAGTAATCACCAATAAATTCTTCAGGGGACAGGTTTGCAAAGCGTATTGCAATACTGTGATTTAGTAAATCTTGTGTGATTTGTCTGATGTGTACAGTAATATCAGCTGCAGTTGTAAATTTTCCATCTGTAACAGTGACATTTAGGAGGTACTGTCCTACATCTAACCTTTTATGTGCTATTAGTTTGCCACCAGTACTCGAGACGGAGAACAAGGATTCCATTTTGGGGTCCAGACTGTATGTCAAAGTATCATAAACATCTTGGTCGGTTGCATGAATTTTTCCAATGACACCACCTGAATACTCTTCCCCAAAGGCTGTGATAAAGATTTCTAGAGGTAGAATTGCTGGAGAGTAAATGCTTTCCTCAATAACTCTAATATCAATGTAAGTCAAAGATGACAATGGTGGTTTTCCATTATCTGCCACCTAAAGGAAAAATGAGGACAGATTTACATTTTTGCTTTGTCTCAAATTCTAATGTAGATATTTGTACTTCATACAGTAGAGCTGTATTTTTCTATCAAAAATAAAAAAAGTTAATACTGCAAATTTAAAAAGCTTAAAAAAACAGGCACAGACAAACATGTTTTCACTTCTCCGAAGACTAAAAGGCTACAGTGCTCTTATTACCTGAAAACGTCAGGAAGCTGCTAATGCTGGTAGCAAATACAGAGGAAATGTACAGAGGAAATGTACAGTAGCTGACTTCAGACAGCAGATGGTGCTTGAAGCTTTTTTATATCAGGCATGGAAACACACTACAAACTTGAAATGAGTCATGCACTAGAAATGTACAGCATGCTTCATCACAGTTAGGAGGTGGTCTGGAAGACGAACTAAATGTGGTATGCCAAACAGTACTTCAAAAGGAAAACAATACATGCAGAAAGTTACAACTAATTATGTTGTCTTTCATGATTTTTGATCATGGAGAGGGAAAAAACCCACCTGTAGTGCTATTTGCTTCAGACAATTAAAGTAATTATCTTTAACAGAATCAGCCTAATTCAATTTTAAAGCCTTTTTGAACACCCTGTTCTCCACCCCTTTTGGACAAAAATATACACTGTTGTTGTATGAAGATGAGACAAAAAAAGAGTAGAAAAGTGAGAAAAGAGCATTTTTTGGGTTCACTTGCTTTCTGTTTCTCAGCTCTTGTTTCCCATCTACCATTTTTCTCAGAGCTTTTTCCCAGTTACTGAAAGCGACGCAGAAGAAATAGCTAAAGAAGAACTGGAGAGATGTGAAGGTACAGTGGGGATACACAGGGCTCAGAAGGTAGAAGATATTCTTCATTGTTCAAAAGATTTTGCAATAATTTTACGGAGACTACAAGTACACTTTGAAGATCTATGCAGAGAAGCTGCTTTTGATTTTTCATACAGATTTAAGCAAAAAAGGAGTAACTTCAGGCACAAGATTATCTGTAGATGTGTACATAATCATAGCATTTCTAAAAGGTAATGCATATCTCATAAAACTACACGTCTTCATCTGTTAACTCCAAAAGACAGGCATGGCTAGAAACTTGCTCTCTTAGTTACTCAAACATAAATAACGAGAGAAAGAGAGGGAAGGAGGGAGAGAGAGAGAGAGAGCACTCAAATTGGCAAAGTTTTGTTCTGCCTAGATTTCTGCCTGGAAACAAGACATGGCAGACAGTTTAGCTACAGGAGAGATGCCCAAGGGAAACAAGAAAAGGCTCAAAACAAACAGACAAGCAAAATTATAACAAATGGACAGCAAGTAGGAAAGAAGAACCCCAGGAGAAATGATTTTTCAATAGTGCAGATATTTAAAAATCTGTTTTGATTCTACACTAAAGATTTCAGAGTGTGGCACAAAGGACTGCATGACTCATAGCTGAAGATTTCGCACACTAGTGCTGTGAGACATTCGTTAATGGATAATCTATTTGGTTTGGAAAGAGGGCAGGCAAATGTGAGTGGCATGCACATGTAAAGTGACCATTGGGGGAAAAAACCCCAACCTTATTTCTATTAAAACCACAAAAGTAAAGTAATGCTCATATTAAGTAAAGTCTTCTGGAGGTACTGGGTGGGTAGAGTGCATATGGGGGGAGTTGTTTGTGTTTTTATTGTTTTTTTTTTCATTTGTTTGGAGTTTTTTTCTTATCAATTACATGCCTGTAACTTAAGACCATCACTGCCTCAACAATCCATTCTGAAAGCAACTAAGGTGATAGATGTCGATACTGGAAAGCAGTGAAAGTCAGCTAAAAAATGAAAAAAGGGTATCAAGAGATCATAAACAGCCATTAACTTGTGATCTGTAAGATGAAAGTGCAGAAATTAAACAGAGTGCAAACTTGAGAAAATGCTTCCTACAACTTTTGAAAAATCTTTGTTTTAAATGAACAGGGGAAGAATATTTTCCCACAAAAGTCATGACTCTGGTTTTGTGTGTATCATTGGAACTGAAGTCCTGTGATATGGAAATGCTAGTTCTAGTCTTAGATAACTTCATACTCATGTTTCATAAGATAATAGCAAATAATAGCAGCGTTTCCACTGAAAAAAAGGTAGCATAGTGTGAAATGACAAATGGCAATTAAAAGATGGTGACATCTTTCCAGAATCCAGTCGGGAAACTTGTAAATCAACAGATTAGACAGGTCCAAAATATTGAGATTGAATACTACAGCGCACAAAAAATGCACATTAGTATAGTCTGCTCTAATGATTTACAGTCTCTGAGAAGTCTTTGTTCTAAATGAGTACATTTGTTTTAAGACACTTTTTTAGCTACTGGATGCCATTAAAATAGCCCTTATTCATTCCCTAATAAAAAGGCACTTTTCAAGTGCTGTGCTAAAGACAAGATAGCTGAAGTACTGACAGGCTGTTTGCAAGCAGCCTAGAGTCCAGGAAGTAGCTTAAAAATGAAAGAATTGCACGATTCCATCCAGAGGAAGATGTTAGATAGGCATCTCACATTTAAGAAAAGCCAAGAACATTAGGAAGGGCCAAACGCGCACTTAAATCATGAAAAGTGACAAAGTCAGTGAAACAGTCTACATAGAATAGACATAACTGCCTTTGAGTGCATTTATAAGGATATGTTTTAGAGGTAAAATAAATAGAAATTAGTTACTCCTTAGAGAAGATTTAAAATGAAACATATGAATCTTGTTCTACACTAATTCCACATATAGGAAAAACATTGCTTGTTCTTCTTCCATAAACGAAAAAGTGACTTTGAGGGAATAGGCATATCACTACTGAGTTAAAAATGGCTAACAGAGGAATGATACACCTGCTCCCTTTTCCATCTCAACTCTTAAACTTTAAATGAAACTATATCAGTTCTTATACTGATGGCTCCAGGTAACATATTTTAGTGACTCAACCAGCAAATTACAGTATCTGTGGGAATTTCTTCTTCTTTCCCCAAAGAAAACAGACTATGTATAAATATGTCACAATTATCCCAATGTGGACAGAATTCAGTATACACTGTTGCTTTAAAACTCTGCAAGTGCATGTTTACTCAGAAATTATCTGCAATAGTATATGTATAGGAATAACTTGGAGATTGAAAGAAATTCTTCATGTAAAAATAAAGGTAAGAATTTTTATTAAAATATGATTCTGGAAACGAAGTTTAAGACTAGCTATTTTTAGCCTACCAATTTTAAGTCCTCTGTTCACAGCTGCTTAACTTATAACTGAATTAAAAAGACCAAAAAATTGGTTTGAACTTTTCTTACACTAGGTTACAAAAAGTATTTGAGAGAACTTTGCTAGGTTAATGTAACCTTGTACATGGTCTGGCCCTTTTGCACAACAGTGGCAAATGTAGTACATAGTATATGTAGCATTTCAGGTAATTTTTTGGGTTTTATGCTGTGTTTTCCACTGCAAGATCCTGAGATCTCAAACTACTGCACTGCAAGTTTCAATGCTATGACAAAGGTGCACTGACTTGCTTTTCCAAACTTAAAAAAACATGTTTTCAATTGCCATTGGAAAAAGAATGTGGCACTACAGAAAAATTTTTCAGTACTGTTATGTTGTGCAACTTTCAATATCCCTGTTTCTGTCATATGAGTGTAGTCCAGCACACAGCTTCCAGGGTCAAAGTGACAGTGGCAAGAGGAATTCTGCAGTCAATAGTGAGTGACTGTAGGGATCTGTTCCCTGCTGGCTTTTCCAGCATCTGAATCCTGGAAGGCAGAGGGCTTATCAAGACCACTTACCCAGTTAATATTTTACTTACAACTTACTCCTACTGTTAGTTTAATTAAACTTCCCATTACACCTGTGTAGATTTCCATTTAAACCAACAAACTTTGTCTCTGAAGAAGTTACCTCAAGGGATACGCCTCAAATGACTACTTGGCATATCAGCATCTTGTAACAGAAAGACAAGTGGTGGACTGGGAATGAGTGGGAAAAGTTTACTAAATGCTTACAACGCAAAACAGCTAGAGGAGGCGCATCCTACCTTAATGTGAAGTAAATAGTGATCCCTCACTTTGCGATTCAGTGTAGCACTTGTGGTCAGAATTCCCTGCTGGGTAATCTCAAAAGTGTTCTCTTCATTTCCACTCAGGATGGTAAAGAGAAACGGAGGGCCATTGTGAGAAGAATCCTTGTCTGTCACCACGAGTTGCAGCACACTAAATCCAATAGGCTTATTTTCCTATAAATATATAATACACATTGCTTTTGTTAAATTGAGGATATAGTCTGATGCTGATTTCTTCTTCACAACAGAAAAAAACCCCAAATTATTGTCAAACCAGTTAATCGGTATTACGAGAAATCAGAATGACCACATTGTTTAAGAAAAACTACTACCCTCTGAGAATAAAAATAAAAAACAGTAAAAGGAGAAAGGCAGTACATTTTTAAACTTTGTATTATATTTTGAAAGGTAGTTCAGCCTTGACACTTTACATTTTCCACTTCTGGTCTGAATTAACATTACTGTAGCCTAATTACCGAGTCATCAAAGATTTCAAATTTAGCTAAAACACCTGTTAAGAATAATCCAATGCCTTTGTTGGGAGGATTAAAAAAACACATTCCTCCATCTGACCCCTTGTGCCCCTAATTAGTGTTCTGACTATAATTGAGGCTGCTACAGTCACAGTCCAACTAAAATATGAAATCCTGGCTTTAAAATTTGCATCATAAAATCCCTTCAAGTTTGCATCATGTGGAGGCCTGAGGTTTCACAGACACTTCGAATACTTTGGCTTATCATATATCTTACACACACATACAACCTTATCTAACACTTTTAACACCTCTTCCAGAATACTTGTGCTATACTGTATTGACTAGATTTTTAAATATAATACACATTTTAAAAGCAAAAACAAGTAGAGACATTATTTTGAAGTACAACAATAACAAAACGCTATCCTTTCACAGTTGCCAAAACTTCTAATGACAAGCATACTCTTTTTTCTTGAAAGAATAAGTCGTTTTAGTTATCAGACATTGCAGCTGAAGCTTTTTTTCCCTTTCCTCAAAACACACAAGGACTACCATTTTAAAATACAAATATTTACATTTGGACATTTAAAGGAATTTGATTTTCTTAATAGTTAAGCACATTTCTAACTGTGTCCAAATATATCCACCTCTAATACATTAGGAAATGCACACCAGCATTCTTGGGCAACTCCTTCAGCTTCTTCCGTGCTACCTTCATACTAAGACAGGCTTATATGACTGAAATATAAAACAAGAGGTCGTCCTTTTAAATTGAGTAAGAGAAATATTACATAATCCGCAGTTTTAGGAGATACATTAACATTTACTTCAAGAAAGACTAACTGGGGAAAAGAAAATCCCTTTGACAGCGCATAAACACACAAATCTATGAGGGGTTTATGTTGTTTTGGGTTGGGGTTTTTTTGTTTTGGGTTTTTTGGTTGGTTGGTTGGTTTTTGTTGTTAGTTTGTTTTTTAAAGCAAGATCCAGGACATCTTACTTGTGGAGGGGGGCTTGAACTTGGAAATTGGATTTTTGAGGGTCTCAAACCACCACAATACTCTATGTATATTGGATAGAGATTAATCACTTTGTCTTATTTCAGAAAGCTACCTTACATATCATGTACACCATCTCAAACAGAACTGGTATGTTAGGATGACACAGTGCACCAGATAACATTGCCTGATCCTCACTGATCTATTGTACTAGACCAGGCACCAGCAACAGCAAAAGGACCCAAGGGATTGAGCTCATTTACAGTAGATAAAGGTCTGAATACAATTCCTTTGTTGTCTTTCCTTTATTCTCTATTGAATTCAGGAAGACAAGAAGTACAGACACTGCCCTTGCTGTCTTTGCTTTAGTAGAGTTTTTTGAATCAGACAAGTACATGCCAGACGCTTGAGAATCTGGCCCACTGCTACCCTCCTAAGATGCAAAATTAGTCAAAGGATTGGTATGCAGCATTATGCAATACTACTCCTGTACTAAACACTTCTGATCCCAGAGAAGGCCAACAGAAATTAAGTCTTAACCTATGTGCCATGGTGCACAACACTAGCTTCACAGTAATAGGTACCTAAAAGATCTTTTTGTAAGAAGTAACTCTTAAGATTAAAAAGAAATAGTGAAATAATTATGTATTTTAACGTCCCTGTATGACGTTAAGAATGTTACGAACGTAAATGCAATGTATAATATGTACACATACAAGGAACATGAAAAAGAACCTAGAGAGGTTGTAGTCTCCCTCACTGGGGATGTTCAAGAACGTCTGGATGCAATTCTCTGCAGTGTGCTCTAAGATGATCCTGATTGAGCAGGGAGGCTGGACCACATGACCCACTGGTCCCTTCCAACCTGACCCATTCTGTGATTCTGTGAACTTGCAATGCAAGTTTGTAAATAATCTGCACAATAGGAACTTTGTAACCCTTAACACTTATTTGGTAAGCAGTCTCACGGGTGACCTTAAATAATTAAAAATACAGAAAAATAGAACTGAAGCATTAGATTTATTGATTTGACTACTTCATTATCTGTATTTACCTGGATGATAACACTATAGTTTCCTTTTGAGAATACTGGAGGATTATCATTTACATCAGAAACATCAATATTAACTGTGGTTGTATTAAGTCTAGGTGGACTTCCATTATCTGAAGCTTGAACTGTCAAGGTATATCCTGATATCTAAAAAACAATCAAAAAAAATTTCAAACATTCACTAAAGAGCAAAACGTAACAATCTCGTAATGATCTCTATATCATTAAATTAATCTCAACAGCTCAAAAAGCATGAACAATTTACCTTTTCTCTGTCTAGAAGCTTAGCCACTTTTATTTCACCCCTGGTAGGGTCAATTGTAAAAGGATTTCCTTGATTGCCATCTATAATTGTGTAGTGAATGCGGTTGTTAGAAGGTCCATCAGCATCATCTGCCATAACCTAAGGGACATTACAGTTTCATCAGTTTCATTTAAAAGAGGTTGAAATAGACTCTAGCACCTTTCAGGTGAACTCATCCTGAAGATGAGCTGTTTTGATCTAACACATTTCATAGTTTTAAGAGAAATGTCATCCAAATAGAACATACCAACATCACTTAATTTCCTGAATTTCTTCTGAAAATGAAGTCATATTCTCATGAGGAGAACATAAATATATCACAAAACATCATCTATTTTCCCACAGCATCTGAAGTCCCCGGTTCTGAAACTTTTTCAAAGTAAATTTTCAGTTCACTCAGTGGCAAACATCTATTCATTTATGTTCACCTTCAAATCAACACTTACTCCTTCAAGACGGAAGCACGATCATCATGACAGTATTTTTCAAAAAAACAATACGTACTGTAATAACTGATTGTTCAAGCACAGCGTCTTCACTGATTACTGCAGTGTAAGTGTCTTGGCTAAACACTGGAGTGTTGTCATTGATATCCGTGACATTAATATTCACTGTTACAACATCACTTAATGAAGGCGTGCCTCCATCTGTAGCTTCCACTGTCAAGTAGTACTCATGAGAACTTTCATAATCCAAGCTCTCAATGATAAAAATAGCTCCTAGGAAAGAAGAAGACAAAAAAAGCCTCACATAAACTCTGCTATTGTTGTAGTATTATGTATTGCAACTTTTTATTTTGGCCTGACAAATACTCAGCTTTTTCAGGGCTTGGATTTGTCACTGTAAAGCTGGAACTACACAGTGAAATGAGCACGCTTTACATGCGTAAGTAAAAAGATGAGAAATTCCTGCCATTACCACAGAAGACTCACACTTTAAAAACACTTGGCTTACATTTGTAATGTGAGTTTTTAACTGACTAGTTAAGATAGTGCAGTCCCTAACATACACATTGATTTGCTTCTGGAAGAGTTTTTCTGGAACTTTTTCCCTACTTTCAAATATATGGAGTTTATCTGGCAAAGTACTTCTATACTATAGTACCAGCATGCACACTGAAAAAAGCAGCTGGAAGAATTATAATTTCAATTACAGTAATACAATTAACTACTAAGAACTTCTGGGTAAAAATCTTATTAAAAACAAACAAACAAATAAACCCAACAAACTTTACCAGAAATTAGCTGTAGAAAAATAACTGTATACGAAAACAAAACTAGAACTGAGGTGTATGTTGATTTTTAACAAAGAATTGTCATTAATAAGGAAAAATTCTCTACAGAACCTAAATAGTTTCTGAGATTAAATCTAACTATCATGCAAGCCTAAAATCTCCACTGTCATGCTGGGTATATGGTTGAACACAATATTCCAAGCCCTTTAATGTTGTTTCAAACTTCTTTAAGATTACTGTCTTTGTGGACCAATGACTAGTTTTCCCAATCAATTTAATTTCTGATCCCTCTTTTACCAAGTCTTTATTTTCTTTTCTGAAAAGACTATTATACTTCTATTACTACAGATCTATGTCTTTTCACCCTCTCTGCCCCCAGGGTGGGGGGTATTCCAGTTAGGAAACCCTTACTCTTGCCAGCTAAATGAATCTTATCCAAGCAGCAACAAATAAAGTTCCTATTCTACATTCTACGGTACTCCTCTAGTAAACATGCTGGCAAAATGGTGAGAAGACAGTAGCAGCGACTACAGCCAGGATGATGCACGCAAATTATACATAACCTATTTGGTTGAACTCGATTGTGCTCGATTAGTCTAAAGTATATTCACAGTTGTAATCTGTTACCTGTTGTTGAATCGATGCTGAATTTTCCATGTTCATTCCCGCTGACTATTGCGTATGTGATTTCAGCATTGGCTTCAATGTCCCTACTTGCAGCGTAAATCTGGAGAACTTCAGTTCCAACCAAAATGTCCTCTGATACACTTGCACTGTATTCCCTATGCTCAAATACGGGTGGATTATCATTTATATCCAAAACAGAAACTATAAGACTACTTGTTGAAGATAGTCTTCTAGGTAAACCTTCATCTGTAGCCTTTAAAGTTAGCGCGTACACAGCCTGTAATTCCCGATCCAAAGGCTTCTCCAAATGAATGATTCCAGAGAATTCATCAATAGAGAACTGCCCCTCTGCAGAGTTCACCAGTGAATAAAGGATTTTACGGTTCAATCCTGCATTTTGAAAACAATTTTCAAGTACAAAGCAGCTGTTAAAATATACCAGCATAATAATTGTTCTGATAGCTATAGAAATAAAAACATGCGTGCTAAATATTATCTTTCATGTTAAAAGTAAATTTTAGCAAGAGTTAAAAGCTCTTGTGAAGGGCAGAATAATTTAAAAAAAAAATTAAGCTAACACTTAATTGCACTGATTTTCTGTCACAGAGAAAACATGAAGCATGGTTATGCTTCAGTCACAGTACTAGCTACTATGAAACAATTACTAATATAAATCTAATTATAACTTTAGAAAAACAGCATCTGCTTAGCAGGCTTGAAATAACAGAGGAGGATATGGGAGAGTTAGGTTGCATCAAATAACTAGACTCAATACCAGTAAGTTTATCTAAGTAAGAACCGTGCCCCAAAATTACCAGGAACATAATTTCTGGCAATCTTTCTGTATAAAACAAACAAACGAGCAAATTATAGGTTTTGGGACAAAGTATTTCAGTCCTCCTGAAAGCCTCAAAGTGTGAAAACATCTGTCTGTTACCTTCCAAATGAGCAACCTAGCTTTACCATAGCTCAAAACAAGTCGGTTGTTTCACAGGACTGAGGCAACTATTCATTAATATCACTTGATTAATAAACTGATGATATATGGAAGTCATACACTTTTAAAAATATTTTATGCTGTTGTATTCCTTACAAGAAAGCCTATGAACAAACTCTTTATAATGTCGTTTTCAGTTCATGTTCACTTAAATACTTGTAACTGAACACTGAAGATAAAGAGACAGCAAAAATCTTAACACGGTGTCATACACAGAAAGCTACAACTGACCAGAGTTCTCTTTATGGTATGATCATCGATGGCTAGCCAGAGAAGCACACATTCAAAAATCTATGAATGCATATTTACATGAACAGACATGGCTTGATACGACCTTTTACTTACATCAGGAGAAAAAGGATGAACCTAATCCATCATAATATTAATATATAACCACACTAAAAATATCTTATATTTTGTCTCTCTCCCCTCTCTTCTTTTTTGCAGACACACAAAAGGGATGTCTTCCAAGCTACTCACACATGGAAGTCAGGTGTTACATGATTTAGTAGACCTAAATATATCTTTCAGGAGTCTATTCCTGAGTGGTGTTGAACATTGTCAGTTCTACTGAAACACTTGACACATCTCAGGATAAGACTAAAAAAACAATACTATAACTTTGAGACCATGACAAAAGTATTGATCAAAGAATGCATACCTGCATCTGCATCTGTTGCCTGCACTCTTGTCAAAAGGGTTTTAGGCTCTGTGTTTTCAAATACTGTAATGGAGTAAGTATCAGTTGTAAACTCTGGGGCATTATCATTCACATCTTCCAGAGTCAGAATAATATTAGCTTGGCAGAATCTTCCTCCTCCATCTGTGGCTTTTACTAGAAGATGATAAACTGCTTGTTGCTCACGATCAAGTGCCATTAATGTTTTCAGTTCACCTACAAACAGAAAAACACAAGTAAGTTGAAGTAAGTTGCAAGACTTCAAGTATCCCTAACACGTTTTTCCCTAAAATCAGAAAAACTAAACAACAATTTTCTTCTTTACAGAAATTTCATCAGTGCCTAAGTCAATAGCTGTACTGCACTAATGAGCTCCACTTTGGCCAAAGCATGTAAGTGACCTGCCTTTTCAACTTGAAAAGATTAAACACTAAAATTCCCTTTTTTCTTTACCCCCAATGCTGCTTTTGAAACAAAAATTAGCTAAAGTAAAACTATCTGATGGTGCAAAAAGAGAAAAATGTGTATGCACGCACAAATCCATATGTATTTGTGCAACAACAATGAAAATATTAGAACTCTGTCTTTAAAAAAATGCAAGGTTAAATCCATGCCTGGTTTTCCTGGGTTATTTAGTTGTATTCCTTCCACAGCTATTGATGTTTCCTCCTCTGACATTCACTGAATAAACAGAGCTACTCACACTATCAGATATAACCTGCTACTACAGACAAACATGTAGAAGTCTTAACACATACTTTCTTTCCAAAATGACAGAAAAAAATGAGAAGCACTATGTGTAGTCATTGTCTCCTTTTAACCAATTCAAAAAAGTATTATGAAATACCTGTTAAAGAGTATTCTAGCCCTATCAAATTTGAATTTATGTAACAATATACTAGCACATCACACAAGTGACACTTAAAGAAAAAAAATACAAACCCCACAAAGTAAGGTCCTTCTCTTTATTTTGTCACTGAAGTATCCTAATCTCTGTATTTCCATTACATGTTTGTATTTATCTTATTTCATTTTTTCTATATTGTTTACTACTCTCTTCCTACTGCTTGTCTCCTGCAGCCCGCACAGTACAGGATTTTGGCATTAGCTGTGACCTATACTATAATCCAAAACACACAAATGCCATGAAAACCAAAATCAAGCAAGTTAAAAGTTAATTTTATTTATATAATGCTTCCAATAAAACTGGAGGTGCTTTTGGTGTTTACTATGAAAAGAAAATTTGTTGCTCCTCAAATTTAATATATCTCATCCCATTTAATATACCAAAACAATTGATGGCAAAGATATTTTCAGTAATAAACCATTATTACTACTACTGCTATGATGAATATAAAAAGAACAAATTTTATAGCCTACTTTTACTCCAGTCACTTCAGCATGGAAATTTCTCGCTTCGAGGCAATTACCCTGTTTACTCTTTAGTTTCTCATCTATTAAAATACTTGCCTTTTGCTTGACTTCTATTCAATATGTTATTAGTATTTGTGTAGTAGAAACTCACATTTTAAACAGTTGTACAATAAAGCAACCCTTAGAAGAAAGTTTAAGTACTGACATTTATGTATGTCTTACTGTAATAGTAAAACATTTTATAAAATGAGGTGATGACTGGAATCTTGTATAGTGTATAAAGTATTATTACCTGTGTCTGGAGTGAGTCTGAATTTTTCTGCTCCTGTGCCATGCAGTGTGTAAGTAATTTCTGCATTGGAACGAATATCTGCATCTGTAGCAGATACCTGCATTATCAGTTTGCCAGGAAGGGTATCCTCAGGAACGGAATCAGTGTATAAAGTCTGCAAGATTTTAAAGTTACAATAAAAGATTAAACATATGCAGTAAGCAGAGCTTGGGAAGGCGAGGGGAAGAAGGAATGACAGAGGAAATAACATTCTGTTTGAAAGTTTGGTAACATATGAAGTGAACCAGAGGACGAAACAGCTGAAAATTAAAAGAACTTATGATTTTCTAATTAATTAATTTGCATTTATTAGATTATTCAGAAAGGTATTTAATACTGCAACTAGAGGGACTCTTGAATATCACTGCACTGCTAAGAACTCTAAACACTTGTAAACGATTAACTAATAATCAAATGCATTCCCAAAATAGGAGTTATAAATGTTTCTTAATTTAATATTTTCCTCTTTTGGTGGAGCATCTTTTCTAGGCCTGTCTCAATCCACATGAAATTGATATCTACCTTTCTTGTAGTGACACAAAAGCTTCTAGATAAAATAAAAAATAGGAAAAAAGATTTAGAATTTAAAGGCACTAAGCATCCCTGCAGCTCAACCATCTCATGAATGTACGTTAAATTAGAAGTACTGAGTCTTATAACACCAATATTAACAAAGGGAAAAAGAAGAAACAAAAGCTAAAAACCCTGACTTGGCAGTCTGTATATAACCAACATAAACATCAACTAAGAAAAGAAACATAATATTCGCTCTATACTTGCCCTTCCTAGTCCAAGGTAAGATTTCCACCTGGTAATATCAAATATGTGTTCAACTATGAAAAGTCCAAATGTGCTAAAGTAAACAAATAAACAAACACAAAAAAAACCCCCAAAAGCTGGGTTTCCTTGTAAGGCAATTACACATCTTGCAAGGGCCACCTTTCTGGATTTTTCCATTTCTAATTTTTCATGTCCATTTTTGCATACTATCAAATCTGGTAAGGTAGACAGCTTTGAAACAAGAAAACATTTACGGATTACAGATTTTTGGTGCTTCTGAATGCAACTGCAATATAATCTTCCAGTTTTTTCAACTCTTTTATCACAGGAAATACACACATGTATCAACTAAGTGATGTTATACAGTCTTCTTTGAGACCTTGGTTCTTTCATAAAATAGAGCATATAAACTATCATGGTTGCAGCTTCAAACAATTCCTTTTGGAAAAGCATGCATTAACACAGAAGAAATGTACTACAATTATTCTTATATTCTTCAAATACCCATTGAGTGTCAAAATTCCATCAATGAATTGTCTCTGGATATTTAAAAAACATGTCCATGAAGTATCTTTTTTTACGGCATTCTATCTTAATAGTTAAAACTTTTGTTACTGGTTTAAAAGGAATAGCTATTTGTCAGTCTCCTGAGAAGCAATTTCAGAGGAAATGTAGATTTTATGTATGAAAGGAGTTGGACACAGAAGGCAAGACTCTGCCTACCTTTTCACAAACAGGGCTATTATCATTAGCATCAAGGACTTTAACCTCCACCACAGCTTTTGTTGCAAAGGTCCCATCAGTAGCTGTAATATTTAGAAGATAATTATCCTTTTCTTCCCTGTCCAGAGGCTTTTTGACATAGACCTTCCATTCATTCTGTATATTTTCAATAGCAAACTGTCCCAAAGGATCACCTCCTGAAATATGAAAAGAAATATTTATTACTACTGTAACTTTATCAAAATTAAGGTATAGTCAAAAAGAAAAGAAAGTAAATGTAAATAAGCACCCACTCTCTATGGCTTTACAAGAGAAACAGCTTCATTTCCCAGATAAAAATTGTCAGTACATGCTCATATAACAAATTTAACTATGGCCAACAGAATCCATAAAAATCAATACAGAAATTCATGTAGCATTATAGAAAACATCAAGACATATGCTAAGTAAAAACAATAAAATACTCCATTGAAAATTAATACCCTATTATTTTGTGAAAATTCTTTCACAGTCTAAGTGTAAGTACATTTTTAAAATAAAATTTGAGACATAAGTAAACAATAAACATAGGAAAGTGTTTTAAGCAAGGCATACATGAAACAAAGCTGAGATCTGCTTTCTAAACCTAATTTTTCCACTGAAGTTTTTCATATGCATACTAAGACACACACACTCTCTTTGCAGCTCTATAGTTTCAAATACTTGCAAATCATTTCAAAGATTAAGTTATATTGCACATCATTCCAAGACCACTCAAATGATTATTCTGACATTACCCCAAAAGATTTACCTGTAATGTAATAAAAGACTTGTCTATTGGTTTCTTCTGTGTCAGCATCAGTTGTACTCAGTATGGCAATTACCCCACCAGGAGGGTCATCCTCACTGACTGTTCCTTTATATATCTCCGCAGTAAATCGTGGAGGATTGTCATTCACATCTGTAACAGTAACTTCAACTACAGCCATAGAAGACAGTTGAATTTTTTCACCCCGGTCAGATGCAACCACTGTGATTTTGTATTTGTCTCGTATCTCATGATCAAGTTCTTTAAGAGTGGTAATCCAGCCAGTCTCCATGTTTATGGCAAAAGACTCTATAATGTCTACCTCTTGAGAAGGATCCAAGCTGTAAGTAACCTGCCCATTGAGTCCTGAATCTAAGTCAGTTCCTTTAACCTGTATGACTCTTGTTCCAGCTGGTGTGTTTTCTACGATGAATGCTTCATATGGATTGGACTCCAAAATGGGTTTGTTATCATTTGCATCTTTTATCTGAATGCTTACCTCTACTGAGGAAACAACATTATAAACTTCATTTGGATACTGTGCTCGAACTGAGAATTGGTACCATTTAGTTGTTTCATGATCAAGATTCTTCTCAAGTTTCAACTCTCCGGTCTGTCGGTCAATCACAAAAAAGTCATCTCTGTTGCTTTCAGGAGTGTTCCCTTTAATCAGACTATATACTAAAGTCTGATTATGCTCTGCTTTGATAACATCTATCACAGTCCCAATTGGAATGTCTTCAGAAACTGCATAAGAATAAAATGGTTCTAAAAATTTTGGAGGAGGTACTTCTGGTGGGAGTATTCTAGCATAGACAGGAACAACTGACTCTTTCTGGGGGGATCCACCATCAATTGCTCTAACAAGGAAAGTAAGAAACTCATTTTCCAAACCAATTAAGCTTTCTTTTGTAGTAATTATACCAGACAGAGAATCGATTTCTAAATTCTCTCTTACATTTTCAGACTCTGCTTCAATACTATATGTGATGTCTGCATTTGTACCCTCATCAGCATCAGATGCCCAGACTTTAATGACAGAAGTACCCCGTGGAACATCAGATCCAATATTTACTTTATACTCTGTGGCTCGGAATTGAGGAGCATTATCATTGTCATCTGTAAGTATTACGTTAACAGTACAGAAAGCAACTTTTCCTCCTGAATCTTTGGCCATTAAACTAATGGCAATTACTTTTTCCGCTTGTGTTTCACGGTCAAGCTTTTCAGAGGTAAATATCTGCCCTCTCTCATTTGTATAAAATCTGTCTTTGGCAAAGTCATTCACAATGTGGTAAGTGATGTGGCCATGTGTACCAGAATCTCCATCTGTTGCTTTAACTTCAGTCACCAAGGTATGCAATGGAGCATTTTCAGCTAGTTCAACCTCATATTCATTCTGGCTGAAAACAGGACTGTGCATATTGGCACTGGTTACAGTTATATGGACTTGGGCTGAGCTTCTGAAGACCCCATCAGAAACAGACACATTAAGATTATAATGTGACTTTAGTGTCTGTCTGCGTACGTTTGAGATGGTGATAATGCCCGTTTTACTATTAATTACAAAATTCTTCTCATCGTTGCCTGTCAGAATGGAGTACTCCAGCTTGTCAACATCCGAACTATCTGCATCTGAAGCTTGCACACATGTCACAAAATGCCCTCGAGGAGCCAGTTCACTAATTTTAGCTTCATAAACCAATTGGCTAAAAAGAGGGGGGTTATCATTGAGATCGATTACATCAACTGTTACAATGACATCAGTACTCAAGGGCAGCATGCCACCATCTATGGCCCTTATTAGTAACTTGTGTTGTTTGAGTTGTTCATAGTCCAAAGTTCTTGCTGTAAGAATGAGTCCAGTGCTGCTGTCTATGTGAAAGTAGTCAAGACTTTCACTATTATCCTCAACCAAGTGATAGGAAATCCCCCTATTGTTTCCAGAATCGGCGTCTGTAGCGCTCACTTTTACAACAGATGTTCCAACAACAGATGCTTCAGAAAGTGTTGCAGCGTAAGACTGCTCTGTAAACACAGGAGGGTTATCATTGATGTCTTCCACTATTATGTCTACAAACACATCAGCATGTGCCCCAGTTAGGGAGTCTGTTGCTCGAACACTCAGTTTATAGGCTGGATGAGACTCAAAATCAAGTGGGGCAACAACATTTATAACTCCAGTGTTGAAGTTGATAGTGAACTGACTGAAAGGATCTCCACCTGTGATGCTGTAAAACACCTTAAGTCCTTCTGGGCTGTTCGCTTGTACATGTACCACAGGACTATGGAGCTGAATGTTTTCTGGTATCTCTGCACTGTAGAAAGGCTTTTCAAACACTGGCATAGCTTTACTCATAACTGTAATTGGGACTATAACTTCAGCAGAGAAAGCAGGCTCTCCTCCATCTTTTGCCACTACTGTGACTAGATACTCTTTATTTAGTATGTCTGGTTCAAACTTCTTCTTCAGGGAGATTTCACCAGTGGGATCAATTTGGAAATGTTCATGATGTTCTTTGAGATAGTAATGCACCTCTCCATTTCTGCCTGTATCTTTATCTACTGCAGTGACACGTTGAATAACATGGCCTGCTTCAGAATCTACTTTAACAACAGCATAATATGGAAGATTGACAAAAAATGGAGTGTTATCATTTACATCTTCCACTGTGACTTTAACTACAATGTGTGCAACAACTGATGGTTTATTTTCCCCTGTCACTTCTACGACCACATCAAAAGATTCTTGCTGCTCACGATCAAATGGTATTCCTGTTGTTGAAAGGACTCCTGAAGTTGGGCTTACTTTAAATCTGCTGTCTGGATTTAGAATATGGTAAAACAAAGGCTCATTTATTTGATTCCCTATAGCAGTAACAACAGCTATTGTTTTTGCCTCTGTGGAATTCTCCTGCACTGTTGCAGAGTAAGAACTCTGTGTGAACTTCAGCTGGCTTGCTTTGCTTTCTTTCACATTAATTTTTACAGATGCAGTGCTTGCAAATCTGCCATCAGATGCTCTCACTGTTAATTCATATCTGCTTCTTAACTGACTTGTATTTTGTACTGTTATATCTCCAGTCTGAGGGTTTATTGAAAATTTTTCTCCAATGTTGCCTTCAATAATGGAATAAATTAATTGTGAAAAAATGCCTGAATCAGCATCAGTGGCATTTACACTGATGACTTTCACGCCTTTATAGGTTGGAACCAGAATGGATGTCTCATATAACTCTCTCGAAAACATAGGAGGGCAATCATTGATGTCAATTACATAAATAGTAACATTAGCTGCATATTCTGCATATAGACGTGGTGTCCCCATATCATGTACTTGCACTGAGAAGTGGAAAATATTTGTCTCCTCATAGTCCAGACTCATTACTGTCCGAATGGCACCAGTGCTGGAATCAATGGCAAAATACTTGCGGACAGATGGTTCAACAATTTGATAAACAAGCAAAGCATTAGATTCTTTATCAGCGTCCGTAGCTCGAATTACTAATGGGATATTCTTGTCAGTCAGAACCACACTGTTAATTGAAGCTGATTCACTGATGAGTCCTGTATATTCAGCCTGCATAAAAATTGGTGTATTGTCATTCTCATCTCGAAGATGTATCAAAACTGTTGCATTAGTGGACAAGCCAGCCATGTTTGTTCCTTGCACAGTTAGAGTGTAAAAAGGCAAAGTTTCAAAATCAAGTATCTTCTGAGAAACAATGACACCTGAGTTTGGGTTGATAGCAAAGGCATCATCTGTATTACCATCTTTTATTTCATAAACTACGGAAGACTGACTGTATGCTGTAACCATTCCAACAAAACTACCAATGCTGGCACTTTCACTGATTTCTGTAGAATATTCTTTGGCTGTGAATTTTGGAGAGGCGTTATCAGAAACCGTAACAAATATGTGCACAGAGGTTACTTCACTCATTGGAGGATCTCCTCTGTCTGTAGCTTTTACCATCAGATTGTATTCTTCCTGGTTACTACGATCTAATTCCTTTGCAATTTTAATCATGCCAAAAATGGGATCAATAAGGAAGGAATTTCCAATATTCCCTGTGAAGAAAGAGAAAAGCAATTAAGAAAGAGGTGTACAGAATTTAAAGGATGACTGCTTATTTAGCTCTATAGCTCAAAGAGACATAGATAGAAGACAGAGTTTTTTTGACAAACATTTGTTAGCCTCTCTGGAAAGTTTTCTGTAATCAAGAGTTAGCAGTAATTCTAAGTTTACTTGTGGAAATATTGCATAAAATATAGTTAGCAAAGCCTTGAAAATAAATGCTAAAATTTTGGTTTAGCTAACTTAAGTATCTACTGTAGCTGAAAGAAACTTCCATTCAGAAGTTAACATCAGTGGAACAAAAGTTACATTTTATAATCTAAAACTATACTGTTTTGAAAAAAAAAGAAGGGTTTTAATGAATAAACACTTGTGAATCTTAATTGTTTATGCAAGTATTGTTTAAATCACTACTTCAGAAATAATCTTTCTGAATTGGACCGATAGTTCTCTCTCAACTTCCTATTGATACACAGACAACTTAATTGCTGTGACAGTATTAGAAGAAAAATAATACCTGCTGAGAAAAACCAGCTGCCATTTGATATACACTTGTTTGCTTTATATTTTCAAATATATAGATGAACTGCATATAATATTTGGCTCATGTACTAAACATGACAAGATTTAACATTTCACTTCCCTAAAAAATCACATTATTAAAGCCACTTTCTCAGCATAGAAAAAATTCATTAAGAACTTCTGAGTTATGCACATGAGTAGGCAAGAGGGATTTTTTGTGGTTTTTTTTTTTTTTAGTGGAGACTCTTAAACACAGTGGCATTCTTAGAATATTCCATTACAAATCTAGGCAGCTCTTACAAGCATTTAAGGAATGGTCCTTCCATATGCTTAGAACATAGTAAATGTCATATTTCTAGAAATAACAGAAAACAAACATGTATTTTAAGCAACTTATGAGACACTTAAATACATTAATTCTTTTCAGAGAATCATAAACAGAGCTTTGTTTTAATACAATGTTAAAGTATGTTTTCATATCAAAACAACACTTTAGGGAAGAAAAGGAAAATATTTACAGTAAACAATTCCTATCCTTTACAAAGCATTTGTGCATATCACTTTGCATGCAACAGTAACTGAATAACTTTTTACCTATTCTCTTTTATATAGTTTCTTATGCTTGTTACTGGGATTTTTATTTTAAATTACTTTTTACCTTTAAAGTAGTACTGCACACACAGGTAATGAAATATAAATAATTTTTTTCCCAGTCATAGTGTCTACATAGCTCAGGACCTTGGCAATGGCAAACTTGTATCCAGATTTAATGGACTGAACCAAAACACACTTTCCCTTGGTAAGTGAACTCAATGAATGTCAATCCTGTTTTCATACTATTAAAAATTGCCAGCATTTGAATCACATTGTTCTAGACAAATTCAGGAAGATATTCTGAGGTTAAAAATAAGCAGCCATACCTAATCCTCTTTTCTGGCCTGCAATCTGAAAGGAGTCTTAATGCCAAATTGACCAGAATAGCAGTCCCATTACCCAAAATCAGCCAGTGGGAACCATGGAAAGCAACAGCTTCCTTGATACATGTAACAGAAAGATTAACTTAAAAACTGGGATTAACTAGGGATTAAGTATATGGATATTTTAAAGGTATTTTTGAGCTCCTTACTTTCACATTATACTAAACATAAAAGCACTTGTCTCAGGCTCTTACTCTTTTCATCAAATCCTTGCTTTGCCTATGTCACAAAAAATATGACTTAACATTAGCAAAATAGAAAGCATTTTTTAGACCTGAATTTAATGCTTCTGTCATTTCTAAAGACCACACCCCTCTTAAGGGTTAAAAGATATCTTTTCCTCCTCCTCCTACTACAGTGTTCCAAATACACCTACAGGGTAACATAAATAGCTAAGGGATTGAGATGAATACTTGTAGTTTTCTTTTAAATGCTCTGAGGCTGTATTTTCAATACATCTCTCAGAATATGACGCTTAAACCTGCACCATCCCATTTTTTTACAGCCATGTTTTTACGTATCAACCGTTGAAACAAAGTATCAGCAGGCACTGTTTCAAAATAAACTGAAGATGTAAGAAAGTCAATATACCTGATTCAATAGAGTACATAATTTCTGCATTTTTCCCTTTGTCCTTATCTAATGCTGTAACCTGGAGTACTGCTGATCCAACAGCTGCTGACTCATACACCCGTCCTTCATACGCAGAGCTGGTGAACCATGGAGTGTGATCATTTGTATCACTAACATTAATGACGATTCTGGCGTAGTTACGCTTCACAGGAACATCTTGATCTCGAACCTGCAACAGTTAGCATATTACTAGTAATTGGCACTGTTATTTCAGTAGTTAATTAAATATGAGTAACAATTCAAGGTTCAATCTGTTCCAGTCACAGGGTCAAGGGCTGCATACAAATTAAACATACCAATAAATGTTTGAATTATGGGGACAAAAGACATTAAAAAGTATCTCTTTGCCATTGACAACAGAAGAAATCTTGTGTTTATTTACCATTATTGTAAGAATATGCTGGTTCATGGTCTCATGATCCAGTTTTTCTGACGTATAAAGAGAGCCAGTTGCAGGGTCCAGACGAAACTTTTTCAGACTGACAGGATCAGTGCTGCCCTGCATCGTATAAATCAGTTTATTCTTCTCATCTCTGTCTGTGGCACTGACTTGCAGAATTTCTGTCTCTGGTATGGTATCTTCAGGTATAACAACTTCATATTTTGAAGCAGAAAACTGAGGCCTGTGATTATTTGTGTCTATAACTTTGATGTACACCTGAAATGATATAATGGGAAGGGAAAAGCATTGATGATATATAGTAAACAGAGATGAAAGGAGGATATTTCATTAAAAATCAGACCATAATGATGAAATAATTCCACCACAAGACAATTTTATTTTTCTGGGAGCAGGAAAGATCCAAGAGGTATAGAGAAGACTCGTATTAAATCCAAATCTGCCTCACTTTCCCCAAAGTCAAACCAGAAAACTCTACGACCAGAAATGTCCTAGGTAAGATATCTTAAAGGGAATGATTTTTATCTAAAGCAAGACAAAAAGCAATTCCTTGGTAATTTTGGAATTAAAAAAAAATTAAAATTCTCAATATAGATCCCAGAGTGGGTAAAAATCCCTTTTTTGGTGCAAATTTAGAATTTTAAGCAACGTATTTTCAAGGCAGTGGATGCATTATACTCCTCCTTGCCCTCATGCAAAAACAATCCTCTTTCAGCTCCTTACATTTCCAAGCCTAGGCAAGAACAGAAAAGTGGTGAAATTCCCACAAAAGTATCTTATTTTGAAGAACTGCAGGTATTGTTTACTCTTCTCCAGCAATGTAGCACAATCTCAGCATAGCTCACTGGTCACCAATAAAATTTCCCTGAAGTCACAGTTAAATTAACTTGGATGCTTTAAATTGCTTTTTTCTGCAGAAGTTTAGCTGGCTTCACCTATGTGCAATGCTGGCAATGCTCTCTTTGAATAATAATGTTCACTGGAACCACACAAGATGCCTGCACACCCATTTGCCTTTCACAGCATCAAATTTTTGTATAAAAAGGGTAAGACAGTCAGCCACCATCCTATTCCTTTAACAGTGATAACATCAGATGAATAACTGCAATGCAGAGGAGTGGGAAAGTAAACAGCAAAGCTCCAACAACACACAACGAAATCCAAGTTCTTTATGTGCTGCACACAGTGCCTTCCCAAATCTTCGTTTGCGAAGCCTAGCCATGATGATGTGCTGCACATACAGCCATGCTTTTAACCATCCAGAGGTTAGGTGTCTTGTATAAATTTGTTAAGGACTATCAACAGGTATTTATGATAAGTGAGTTAAATTTGTTTTTGAAGATACTTATTGCTTTCCATTGGTAACTGCTAGAGTCTACAGATGTAATTCAGACAAGGTACCAAACTGCATGCAGTAGAAAACTAGATGAGATGAATCCTGATGGTGGTAAATAATTAGGAAAAGTCATACCTCTTGCTATAGGAAGAGAAAACTTTACCCTTATAAAACTGGTGTCTTATATTAAAACTTGTACTAAGAAAAAACAGGTGTTAAGATTATCAACAGGAGTCATACAAATTCCTAAAATATTTATTTCAGATGGGGGCTATTAGCCCAGGTTGCAACTACTACTCTAAGCTCCAAAACAACAAGTTTGTCCTAATAGTGAATTTTACAGGCTGAAAACATTTAAATAACTTCCAGAGAGGCACAGGCAGTCCTTGAATATATCCTACAAATCCTACCAACAGTAGAGGAAACTGTTGGAAGGATTTAATTCCAAGTAACAACAAAAGGACTTCTGCAACTAAGTAATGAAGTCCTGTATCACCAGGGAGACTGATTAATGGAAGTGAGAATCAAGAAACACAACAGGGTGTGAAATTCTTCGGATAACTTTATATTATAAGATAGGAAAGTACTCCCAAAAACTGGGATTTGCCAACTCTGGTAGCTGAAGAAAATGTCACCAGAAAGACTGTTTTCACTGAGAATTTCAATTGGATAATAAAAAAGAACAAACAAGCATATGAAGGGAATATAGGAATAGAGATGAAGATGGCAAAGGTGGAATCTCAGGAGTCAGAAGCCAGATATGGAATAATAAGGCAGGTAAGGAATAAAAAGAGCTTTAAATTTATTTGAAACTGTCAAACAATCTGTGGGCAAGCAAGACCATCAGGAAATAAAAAGAACAATGAAGGAGTAGGAGAGCCTGTTCCAGATTACAATTTTGCCTCAGTCTTATTCATCAAGAACAATAGGGTGCATGACACTGCATGAAATAAAATAAATAAGCTACTAAATAGAAACAAGTCACCAAGACAAGATGGAAATCACCCTCATGTTCTGTTTGAAAGAGAGAGAGGTGATAATACTCCTAATGTGAGACTTGCTGTTAATAATACAGGGATCCACCTCCAGACCACCAGTCAGGGTGGAGAAGGGGGCATGCATGCACATGTACGTGTGTCCACAGCCTTTAAAAGCTTTTTAGTAGATGTAGTGTAAGGTTACTATGCATAATCCACAAAATAGTACACTTAGGGAAATGTTCATAAACATAGGTAGTTTTTCAGTGTTTTAAGCAGCCTGTTAGGATAAATACAGACTATCACCGCACAGGAAAATAATGCCTCCCACAATCTACTAGATTTCTCAGAAAACTGAAGAAGTATGAAAAAAACAAATCATTTGGCAGAGTGATAAAATCCCTTGCAAGATGTTGCTATGGAGACTAAGGAGTTTGGTTTTGTCATGGAATAGAAATCAATTAAAGAAAGGAAACAAAGAGCTGGAATAGATATTGACTTTCAGTGGGGAAAAAAAAATAATGGTAGGTGACCCAGGATGCATATTAGGACAAGTTTTTAAATACATTTACTACCAAATTCAACTGGAAAATGAAAAGCAAGAATGAATACTATCTTTAAAACGTGATCTTTTTATATTGTCATGATTAGAGAGGAGCAATAAAGCAACACAAGCACAGTTGTTGGTTTATTTTGAAGTTTTGTATAAATAAAATACATTTTAATGCCTCTTGGAAGAAGTAAGACAGAAGGGTCCAATACAGTCACTTACAAACAATTTGAGGAAAAGCACCTGCTCACTGAACACTGGTGGCTCAGGAAAATGAAAAATGACACCAAATGAAGATGACCAAGAAATTAAAAACAAACAAACCAGCAGAAAAACTCAACACTCAATACAAATCAAACCATAAAAGTATTTTTTTATAAATAAAAGGTTTAAAGGCCACGTACAATTACAACACTTCATTAATGGATATTATGTTTTCAAAATGAGCTCACAGAAATTTTTTTATTAAACTACTACCCCCAAGAGATTAAGTTCAGACTCAGAAAAACAGCAAGTATCAAATTTATGAATTTAAATTAAAATTTCTATTTAAATTCATGTCTATTTCCACCCCCAGATTAGGAAATAGAGAAACTTAGGTCAAAATTGGAGGTGAGAGGGTATGTAACTCCAGAGCAACTGTGACAGATCAATCTTCTGCTCTGAAGACATGCCCACCTGTGCTGCTGGTACTACACAAAATGAATACAGTAAAACAGCATTTCTAGAATGGAGCACCACAAAAACCATGGAAAGTACTAATTAAATGCCAGGAATGTAGTGACTGTGAAACCAACATTAGTACCTGCAGGACTAACCACATATCCAATGAAATAGCTTAACTGCAAAGTGATCTGTTGATCATAACATCATGATTTAGCATCAACTCTCTCTAGTATTAGCTAGTGAAGCAGTTAAAATGACACATAAGGAGACATCCTCCAAAAAGGTACTGTTGGACTGAACAGATAAGGAGACAGCTCCTCAAAATGTACAGCACTATTAAATATGAATGATTAACAAAAATATTTTTGCTAAGGAATAAACATGACTCAGTCACTACAAATGGTTTGCTCAGGTATTCTATTAGTTGTCAAATTACTTGTTGAGGCATGCAGTTTTTCTCCACAGTGGTAAACACAACTAGAAATATGCAATTTGTTATATAAATGCAATAATTTTAAATATACCCAAACCCTTAGATTCAAGTGAAAGGTGTTTAATCTACTGTACGATTGATTTCTCACCCACTAATGTTACTGCACAGATTCCAGTGGACAAGCATAACGTGAACTGATGGGCAACGTTTGGGTAACTTGTCTAACTGCACGCCAGAGTGCTTTAATAAGGCAAGCAGCAGATAGGGGAAAAGAAAGTACCCCCTTCTATTTGACACTCACTGGTGGGAATGTAGATCCACTCGAGCTTTAGGCCCTGCAATTCAAGAGAGATCGTGACAAAATGAAACTAATCCACTGAAAGGCCATTAAAATCACGGGGATCGAAAAGCTCTCAGTTCACTGTGTAAAGGAAAGGCTGCAGGAAAGAGAACAAGACTCTTCTCAGAGATATATAGTGAAAGGACAGGAGGTGACACTCGCATGCTCCAATGAGAGAAACTACAATTAGACATAAGAAAAAATTTTTCAAGCAGAGTTGTTAAACACCAATATAAAAGCAAGTCCAAAGAAGAAGTGGTGTGCCCTGTGTGAGACACTGGATTATTATATTAATTATTGGTTCCGACCAATTCAGTGGTGTGTGTGTGTGGAGAGCAAGGGACAGGTCGAATTTCACCCAGGTGAGGTAAAGTCCTGTCCCATACCCCACCCTCTGTGAGTCTCCCTGGGCAACTGTGGGGCACTGTCAGTCAAAAGCAGCCTGGGAGCACTGCCCCACACCACACCTTGGAGCCCCTGACCCAGTCCCAAATTGGCTGGCACACCAGAAGTCCCTCCCAGGGGTTGCAGGTGTGGCCCTGGGGGGCCAAAGCAAATAAAAGCAACATGTGCTCTCCATGTTTGTTGACCCTGCCATCTTTCTGGACTCCAGTAGGTGGTTGCATGCTGGATCTAGGGGTGGTAGCTATAATTTCCTCTTTTCCTCTCTCTTTCTTCACTTCTTCTCTTAATCTCCTTTCTTTTGGGTAGCTTGAGACCAGATGGGTTGGATTTTGCTAAGTTGTATGGGTTAGCATGTGCTAAATCAATGCTTTGTTGAATGCTTCAATTTGGTCGAATGTTGCCCTTCCAACATTCGCCAAGTTCCCTTATTTACTAAAAGTTTACCAGTAAAAGTATCTCCCAAGAAAACGTGCAGCTTTTCTCCTTTCCACTCTCTCTTATGGTTTTAAAAGAGCTGAAGGCTCTTCTGATAAAATTTTGTGAAGTCCTGTATATTTTTAAAGCATAAGCCCTTTAGCGAGCTTGTAGCTTGGAGCCTAGGGTCTTACACCCTGTCATCTCAGGCACTTAGAATCTGATGAGTTCCTGAACAACTTGATCAACTTTACAGCTTGCTCTGCTTTGAGCAGGAGTTTTAACTACATGAACTCCAGTGGCTCCTTCCAGTCTAAACTACTGAATAAATTACTAAGGAAACCCTACTTTCAAGTCAGGAATTTTTACTGAGGCTAAGTGACAGGTACTAGATGTGCAGTTTCCTTTTAAATATAAAAGGACAAAATTTTCATGTAAACTCTTAAGGACTTCAAATTAAATGAAAAGCAATTGAAGTAATAACTGGAAGTGCAATTTTAAAGACCCACACAGGAAAATATGGTTTAGTGTGCCTGAGAACAAAACACATTAATAACTTGTATTATTCTATAGTAACATGTATAATAAAAGCACCTATGGGACATTTCTCAATGAAATTATAAGACTAGATTCAAATGAAATATGCTAATATTATCTCTTTAGAAAGTGTTGCTCATTTAAGATGCACAGTATAGAAAAAAATAGAAATTAACAGACCATAATGTGATCGTTGAAATAAAATGCTCTGGAACTAAAGAAACTTCACTCATTTTGCAAGGATATACAAGGGCTGTGTTGCACAGCTGCCCCTCTGCTCGCAGTTCTCACTGAGAGCAATGCACACTGGTCATACAGAGAACAAAGCAGCCCAGGATTACTTTGAGGAAGGACATCAAATCTATTAATAATTTGGCAGGTGAAACCGAAATCTGCATAGAAATGCATTTATTACTAATAATTTGCAGAGGAGATACGTGCCATTGACAAAACATACTCAGTTAGCATTATTTAAACACAATGTTCCTTTGGATCGTTTTAATATTTTTTATTTACTGATTCCATATAGACTTTAAATTCTACCCCTCTCCCATAATTACACTATAGTTACACTGACATGTTTATAATAAATTTATAAACAAAAAGTTGTATTATCCAGAGATAATATAACTGCATTCCAGTTCTAAAATGTCTCTGTGGAGCAGAATGGTGATTGCAAGCAAAAATGCATTTTTAATAAATGAAGAATATTCTATACTTCATTCCCAAAGTATAATATCCATATAAATTTTGCATAAAGCAAGATTAAATATTCTGCAATAGCACAGCAATAGGTAAAATGTTCCAATTGGCTTTAAACCATCTGAAGTATTACTTTCAGTGAAAAAAAGTTGATAGACATAGCAATGACTGCAAGTGGCAATAGCTAGAAATAGGATTTTTTTCTTTCTTTTTTTTTTCTCCCCAAACAAATTTAGTAGTTCATATATTGTTACTTACAGCTTGTGAATAACCTTTTCTATTTCAGTACGTAAGTACATTGATTTGTGTTTCTTAATGATTTAATTTTTTTATTTTTTATTATTTTTTTATTTTTAATGACATTCCTTCCTAGTGTGACACTAGTTGTCTCTAACACCACTAGGTGTTGTAGGCCTGGAATTTGTCCTTGTTTTGCATCATGCATTTGGCATTTTAGATGCATGCAAAATTCTAATAGCCTCCCCGCCTACTACTGATTTTTCACAAAAGCTATTTAACTCAAGTCCTGAAAGAGTCAAATGCGCTACAGATGTTAATGGCCTGAGGCCAGCAAATGCCTTCCAGCTTAAAGTCAGATAAAATACACTGCTTTTACACAATAGGATTTTCATTTCTTGTGCCCCTCTTCAACTTCTTGCAAACGTCATTTTCAAATTAAATGTAAAATGACTTAATCTGCTGTTAATCAAGGTCTGTTAATTGTTTACTGTATATCCAGTGTTTACAGTAATTACTTTGTAAGCTAAAAGCTCTGTGCAGCATATTGTCATTCCTCATGTATGCACTCAGAATTCAGAACTTCTTTTGCCTGTCACTCCATTTTAACTGTTAATCAGCTCTTAGAAGAATCCAACAGCACATCAACACTCAACCTTTAATCACCATTATTTCAGCAATGAGTAAGGGAATTTACACACTGGCAGCCATAAATCACACCTTAAACTTTGATTTCATATCAACAGTTCATATCTGAAATGCATCCTTTGAATGATAGCCCTGAGGGTTATCCTAACAGATTAGTCCATTTGGGTGGGCTAGGAGTTATGGGGGAGATAAGAGAATCAGTTAAAATCAGGAATCTGTTCATGCACCAACAGTTGCAGAGTTTGAACTAGTCTGCACTCGTCAATCTGTACACCACAGTAATGTGAGACTCCAGCAGCAACAGCATAACTTGTGCTTATCCCACAAGCAGGACAAATGCAAGACAATGCAAAGGAAGCCTTTGTGCTTGTTTGTAACAGAAACCACAATCTCTGATCCTGCCAACTCTAACAGAGAGGAAAGGAAAAACATGAAAGTAAGTCATAGAAAAAGCCTTCACAGAGATGACAAATTTAAGACTACTACTCCAGTTCTTCTGGAGAAGAGTGCTGTGGTAAGTTTTCATAATGCTCACTCAGCTTTACAAAATGCTAAAATAACAAATGAATTTAAAGAAATTGGACAAAAGTTACACTGTGCATTTCCAAGAAGAACTGAATCGCATAACCCAGAGGAAGAGAAGGGGTGAGGGTTAAATTACTTTTATGACCTTCCAATCCTTGCTTGTTCTAAAATACAAAGCAGATTATGGTTCAACTGTGACAGCTCAGGATGTCTGCATAAATTCAGCTACATAAGCATCAGCACTGGATAGAACACCTGCAGTCATCTAGACCACATAGTAAGCCTTTAGTAGTCCCCAGACTACTCCAACACATTGCATAGTGGCATTTTTGACTGCATTTTTGGTAGAGGGAAGAGTGTGTGGAAAGCCTCTTGCTGTCTTTTTGACTTTTCTGGCAAAAAGAATTATCTTTTAGTTGGATTTGTGTATCTTCTCTTTTTTTTTCCAAAGTAATTCTTGCCTTCTATCCAGCATTCTGTAATCAGAAGTGAATTTGCTCAATATTTTTACTACAAGGCAATAAATTTACAGCAGGATTCTTCAAACCTCTTATGGTGTTCATCAGCACCAGAAGCAGTGGCACCATAGCTATGATAGCAGCAAGTTCCTACTGGGGAACATGTTGCTGTGTTTGAAGATTCATGGTCTAGAATCACTCACAATTGTCATCATTAAAGGAAAAGGCAGTTCTCATAGGAAACTGCTAAACTTCCAATCTTCTCCTATCAAATTTAGTCTATTTGAACTATTGAGCCTCCAGATATGCAGTCTGCTCAATAAAGATTGCGTTTAAGATCTAAACATTGACAAGAAACATCTTTTCCTCTGGCTAAAAGCAGGAAGACAACATTTAAGACATTAGAAAAGATAACAGAAAAACATATGTGCTGCATAGAAGGTGAACAACAAGAAATTGCATTTGTGACACAGATTTCTATTTACAGAAAAGACAGCAGCAACCCACTTATTGCTCTTTGAGTTCCTGAGGGGTAGGTCAATGATAGAGATATGTAACAGACACATTACTGCCCCAATCCAACAGTCTTTAACTTGTAAATAAATCCTTTCCCTTCTATTTGGAAGAAAAGTGGAGCTCCTCTATGTTCATGGCTCTATTCACAGCAACCTCAGCTAAACTTTATTTTCAAATATATTCAGGTTCTGGGCTGGGGAAAGAAACTAGATGGGAAAAACAGAAGGGATAGACATTATAACCTACTTTACTATGAGTTATTTCCAGTAGTGCCACAAAAGGCTTCTGTACCTTAAAGTGAACTTAGTAGTCCAACTGCAAAGAATTGCCACCACCGTAGAGCCCTAGTAGAGAGGTAATTTTAAAAAAATGGTTTGTCTGAGATTGCCAATCAATCTCCAAAAAGCAGCAATCTCTACCTCCACCAAAGCTAAAATAAAGTACTTAGGAAGATACGAAGAGATGTTATCATCTAAACCTTGTTTCTATATGTATACTATGCAGAAGGAGCAGTTCAGTTTCACAAAACATTACTTGGATGCTGTACAACTGGTCATCCACATCTTGCAGGTGGAGTGTAACCACAAAACTTTACAACGGTTGTCTCTAAATTTCAAGTACAGTAATCAAATTAGTGATTTTGGGGGAGCTGGAGTAGTAACTCATATAAGTAGTATTAATCTTTTTCTTGAGAGAAGATTATGCATGCAAGAGCTTAGTTTCTGTTTTCATTTAGTTAGCTGTAGGAACAGGATATAACTTAAAAGTTGTTGGTTGAAACTACAGCAGCGTAACATACAACCTTCCACCTAAACCACCAAACAACACGGCTCTATGAATATCAGAATCCACTTCTATTTTAGACAGTCTCTAATTTAGATAAACCATGTTCATTGTCCAGGATGAAAAAAACGGTAAAACACAACACTCTCCCCACCCTCCAGCTACACATTCCTTCTTCTATAAATGCTTCATTAGAAAGTCCATTACCTGAGTGCTGATAGATCTGGCTCCATCTGTTGCCTCTACTGTCAAGTTGTAATTTGATTTCTGTTCTGCATCAAGAGGCCTTGCGACAATGATAGTTCCAGTGCCCTTGTCCACATCAAAGCGACTGTCATAGTTGCCACCTTGTTCAGGAAATTGGGAGAGGGATAAATTAATAAAATGCATTATTGTTTCATTATTTTCATGTATGATCATGTTCTGTCTTCAGATGCTTAATGAAGGTGAAACTGTATATACATAGACTGATACATACATTTATTTTAAACACTTTGGGTTTTTTTCCTGGCAATGTGTGATATACTGCTACTTGTACATATTTAAAACTGAGTAGTTTTGGACAAAGCTGATTTGTCTGGCTCATGGGAAGTCTGCAGATAAATTCTTATTTGCAGGATTCTCAACTCCTTTTTTTTTAAAAAAGGAATTTAATGATTCCAGATAGCAGGAAATTGAGAATTACTGGATAAAATGTGACAGTTAATTTTGTGCAGATTGGGCTAATTAGTGAAAAAGATACTTTGTATCGAAATACAATAAAATTTTTAATCAGACATAAGTCAAATTTGTGTCTTTTGAAGCAGAGCACAAATTACTATATTCATATACAGCTATAGATAAGGTAGAAAAAGCAACGGTACCTTTGAGGAGTGCTCATCTCAACGTTGACTATCTAAAGAATTCACTATCTCACACCTACTGAGATAGGCAGGATTCAGATAAGTGTTAAATGTTTAAATGCCCAATGTTTAAATATAGCCAAGTTCCTTCTCTGAAGCAAATTATCTTAATTTCCCTTGTGAAACATTCAGATTACTCTTTGAGCAGTAGTTAAATGACTGTGCAGATCAATAGCCACACTCAGTCGTTTAAACATTTAATTGATCATCATCATCATGCCACCCAGAGCAGACTGTCCTGAGAATACAATGTCCATTCGGTCTAAATATTGTTAGCAATAATAAATGCTGCCATTTAACTACAACTGCTTTAGCCCTCTCAGTGAACTGCCTAAAACGGAAGAATCAATTTTTATTTTGGTCAAGCAAGTGCGGAATATGGCAAACCAATTTCTCCTAATTATGTGCACGTGTTTTTCTAATTATATTTTACAAAGATAGCAGATAGCATTCAGATATCATCTGAGTGCCTTTTTCTTTCCTTTAACAAGTTTTTACATGCTAAGCTTTGTAGATCACAAAATGCCTTTTATAAAAAGCCAAGGCTAGAAGCGAGAGGGTGAAGTTTCAAAGATTGCAAATTTGTACTTAATCCAAGAAAAAAACAGGAAATACTGAAATGAGCCCCCATTGACATGTAAAAAGGATTTCACCTTTAGAAGGTTCCACTGTATGACAAACATACCAGTTTAGGAAAGATGGGCTGGATTCTTCTTCACTGGATTTGAGATATTTGATAATGACCAACATTATGCAATTTTTCAAGTTTAACTGAAAGACAGCTCCTCTTACTGGCCCAGTAGCAGTTTCTGAATCACTCAGATAGAAACTGGAGAGCATAAAAGGCAGCAGCTTTTTCTTTTCTTAACAGGTGTACATTACTTTTTTAATAGGCTTTGTGCAATATGCCATCTTTAGAAAGTGAGTCTAGCTTTTCCTTTTATAATTGGCAGGCAAAACCATTTTCTCAGATGTCTCAATGAAGTCATCTGCATTTTAAGGGAAGGGTATGAGTCTGTTTAATCAGTTTTCCTGACAAAAAGACGGGGTCTCCAATCAAGTTTTTTTCCTTCCTTATCAAGAAAATCACAAAGGCCTTGCCGAACTTTTGTAGTAGTGGTGATATCTGGTGATCCACTGAAGCAGAACTCAACCCAAACTTCTGCACCTGGTACACTGAACGTGTAACAGCAACAGTTTTGGCCAAAGCCAAAACTGGATGCTCAGAATTGACGCTGTATAAATGTAATGACGACAAAACAAAACAAAAACGAACCTGTCACAAATGCAACCGTGAGCACTTTGATTTCCGAAGGGTTAATAAAATAAATAGTTTATAAATGTACGCTTTCATTTCAGATCTCATAATCTGGTAATAAATTATGTGATCTCAGCAGATACCTTCTGCTGTACAGTTCAGGTCACAAGCCATCTGAAAGATGTAAAATACTTCACTAGCAAGCTTGTCTTCTGGCTCAGCCAAAAAGAAAGAAAGCATGGAAAGCAAGCACAGAACACAAAGGAAAGCTGTCAATCAAATTCATTCATGCTATTAGAAACAGTAAAAGAGGGCAGTAAAGTGACCACCTGTAAGAGCAGCTGATAACTTCACAACATAATCACATATCAAACTTTCCAGTACACTTTTACTGAAAACACAGTCAAAATAAAAGGGTTTATTTTGCAACACTCAGACAAGTTCTGCCCTTTCCCCTTGAAGTTTTCTGTATATGTCTTTCTAAAAAGAGCAGGAAAAGATCATCTATTTTCTGCATTAAGCATACAATAAAAAATATGTAAATGTCCAAATTGTGCTGCATGCTTAGAAGGAGCAAATCAAAATAGTGCTATCATCAGAATTCCATTCAGATGTACACACTGTTCAGAGGTCATAGCAGTTGACTCACACGAAGAACAACAATAGAAAAGTACATCCCCAACCTAATTAACAAATTTTGCTAATAAAAGACACCAGAAAACATCACTGTTGTACTAAACTGAAACTCCCAAAACCTCTGAGGCCTCTTCCATCTACTCTCACCCCCATGAACTGCTCACCTTTTTCTGGGAATGTCACTTTCTTAACCCTTCCTTTAATGGACGCTCTTTGGTCTATAGATGTTTCTGTTTGCTGTTGACTGGATAACCCTAATTTGGATACACAAAACCTTCTCATCTTTCCTGCTCACTTATTTTCATATTTTCTGCTTTTCTACTCCCACGTCTATATGCTTGTATGTGTTGGGGAGAACAGTGAAAGAGCCACCTCAGTCCCACAATACCTCTAATGCAGAGAGTTTTTCGCCTATGAGAATGCAAGCAAGCATCCTGAACTCTTTACTACCTCTACACAGTTGTACAGATCCATAAGCCCTTGGTTTGTCTAAATGCAAACATTTTTTATTCAACTATGAGCTATTCGGACAGGAACTTTGCCCCCTTCCTCCCAAGAACACATTTAAAAGAATTATTTAAAAAATTCTATGTAAATATTTAATGAATTAGCAATGATTATCAATATGACCACAGGTTGTTCACACATGAAGCATGACTTCAGGGGCGAATTGCGTATGTTCTCATGTGCTTGAAAATTTTTTGAGAACACCCTCAAGTATTTGGCATTTATATATTCCAACTACATGTGTCTATTTGAGAAACTTTACTTTTAACCAATGCTGTTTTCGGCATTATTAGGAAATACATACCAGCAAAACAGACGTTCAAAACACTTAAACTTTTAAGAAATAATTAAAAATATGCTCTCCTGAACAACTTAACATCATAATCATGGCTCAAATTTTCAGTAGTAACCAAAGAGAAAAAGATCCTTCTCTCTCTCTTATGAATGTGGTGGAAAAGTCAGTTTGATAGGGTTATCTCAAGACCAGAGACAGTTTGCTTCAGTTCAGCATCTCTCCTGAAAAAAGGCTATGCCATTCTCCTCGATTCCAAAGCACTTAACCCACAACAGAACTTAGTTTTACTACCAGCCATACAGTGAACACTCTGTGTATTACTAGTGCTCAGAGGTCTAATGACTAAATCTAAACTTTAAAAGTACTATTCATTTTGTCACCATGACATCAACATATTATGTCATATTACCAGTTAGAATTCCCCTTTCAATGGTAGAAGCTAAGTTATGATATAATATAATAGAAAGAATATGCACAGGAAGAAGTTTGCTGGGGTTAGGAACATTGCATGCTTTCCTTTTAATACTGAATCAAGGGACAGCAAACTGAGAAGCAGCCTAGGAGAAAAAATCAACATGAACAGTACAATCTCTCTTTGAATGTACTATCCAGATTTGCAGAAAACTAGCATTTTATTTCTTTTCCTATCCTACAGTCTATGAAATTATTATTTGATTAGTTTTCAGTGACACAATATTCATAAGTCATTTTCAAAACTGCAACACAACAGATATTTTGCAACCTAATTTTAATCTTATAGAGTGTCATTGATAAAAATTAAATCATTTTGATTTACAACAAAATAAGGGGGAAAATCCACATCTGCAGCTAAAAAATTCCAAACCCTTGCATTACTTAGAACAGCAATTAAAACCAAGCTGCAATGAGCCCTCCAGTATCTCAGACTCCATGCACTTGTTTCTAATAATAAAGGCCCTTAAGGCATCCTTACCCGTTATGTCAAACCAAACTTGTGTTCCAAGAGGTTCAACAGCTATTACACCAATCATGTGAGCAACTGGGTCACTTTCCATCACCGTAAAAGAAAAAAATGACTCCTCAAAATAAATAGGCTTTGTGGGCGGGTCAGGCTTTGAAATCCATTCTATGTGAAGCCGTGTAGTTGAAGATTTTTGTGGACGACCATTATCTACAGCTTTAATCTGAAACAGACACATAGGATCACATAAATCATTATGTCACATAAACAGAAAGTAGTAATAAGCTCCAAGCATATTTGCTTGTGTGAGATATATCCAAAAAGGTTAAGTGTCTCTCAAAGTGCCACTTGCCCTTCATTATCTGGGCAGCAAATGGAGAAAAAGTGTGCAGCACCTGATAGCAGCACAAACTGTTACCATAAATTCACTTTTATTTTGCTTTCTTCCTGGAGGTGAGTCAAACTGATTGTTAATGTTCCCTCATCACATACATTACCTGTCAAGTTCTGGAAAAGAACAGAAGTTTCTTGATTAACAATACAAACATCTGAAATCATCCTTTACCAAAAACCAAACCAAAACAAAAAAACAAAGAAACCCACAAAACAATGCTTCTGGATTTGTTGAAGCTTTCTTCCTTCAGATACTGCACTCATCTGCCAGCTGCTGAATAAGAAATGAACAGATAAAAGAACACTTTACATATTCATGATATACAAGACTGACTCACTGAAAGGATATCATAGTCCCTTGCTGCAGAAACTTTCTTTGATGAAACCACTCCAGTTTTTGGTTCAATAAAGAACTTGCCATGTTCATCACCATCTTCAATGCTGTAGGAGATCTCTGCATTGGGGCCTTCATCTTTATCTGCAGCAATAACTCGATAGATTGGCTCTCTCTTAGCAGTTCTCTCTCGCTCTGGCTTACCACGCTCTGGAAGCTGAATTTTGTAGAATTTTTGCAAGAATTGAGGCTTATTGTCATTCTCATCTAAGACCTTCACAATTACCCGTGCAACTGTTGATTTTGCAGGAGTACCATTGTCTGTCACTGTTACCTGTTTTTATTAAAAAGGATAGAGTTAGTGCTCAATTCAAACATGGTCCTTCCAACAATGCTCTTCCTAAATCAGATTTTCCTACAACTCCCTGTGACAACTGTAAAGTTCTCCCCTAACTTCAGTTAAAGACAATTGCATAAAGCTATCAGTTGAATATTTACAAAAGGCACCACAAAATCTTATTCAGCTACTATCTTAATATTTTGACACATGAAATGCAAATATTCATGCTCATCTCTAACAGATGGCATGATTTCCACATAAATGAGTATCTGTTCCCTTTAGTGCTTGTAATGGAACACCAGCACATACCTTTCAGTTCACAAAAAAACCCAACCAAGCTCAACCAAAAAAACAAAGCACATTCCAAATGAGGAAATCAAAAGCGGTATGTAATAACATGTCCGTTAACATAAAATTAGCATTGCCCTGAGTCAAGCAGAAGACAAATGAAAATTGAGAAAAATCTCTTTGAATTGAAGGCAACATCAGTTTTGAAGGTATTACTGACATTAACAAAGAGAACACTAAGACATGAGAAAACAACTTGAAGGTAGTCTAAAATAACTGCATAAAAAAGTGCCAATTGGCACTCAGAAAATAGTTACAAATTTGGAATAAAAAAAATGGGGCATATTAGTTACTATTATGTAAGCAGAACTGCAATCAAGGGTCAAATTCAATAGCAAGCAAGGAATAAACCCACCAACCCATATGGTCAATATTTCAATGCTCAATTAATTAGCCAGAGGCTCAGCACTTGGCTCATAATACTGCCCACCATTCTGCGCATTTCTAGGCTTCTTTTCAACCTATTTTCAAAGTTGTAAACATAAAACTAACACATGGGAAAACTGCTACTTTGGGCCATGCTATCTGTCAGTATTGCTCTGTACTCAAGACTTCTTCCATCAGATATTTCACATACTTTTAGTTAAAACTTAACAACCAGTTGGAATTCAAAATGCAGAAAGAATGAAGGATTATAAATTATACCAACAGGCAATAACCCATATTCCAAACTAAAGAGCAACCAGCTTAAACTGTTATTTTATAGGGAATGATGAAACCAGGAGGATCTATGTACCATTACCTGACACCGCAATCTTTAACTTTCTGAGTTCTGTACATGTTCCCTTAAGATTATAAACTTAAGGTTAAATTAGCATGACTGCTAGCAGACAACTGCCCATAACATTACACTGTGAGTGTGATCTCTGGCACCAGTTTTGGCCCAGAACAAGTAGCACAAACATACACTGCCTGGCTGCAGCCTGAGAATTCACACAATTCAGACACCATTCTCAACAGGCAACTTGAACATGGCCAACATGTTCCAGGGATAAGATGTAAGCAATCAAAGCCATACTGTGCCAGGTGGCTTCAGGGTCAGAAATAATCCACAGCTCATTTTATTTACTGTATAAATCTAATAGAAAAGTCAGTATAATATGTGTAGAGGTAAAAGTCACGATATACCAATTTTACGACCCATATACATAGCAGTTGTCAAGAAATAAGATAAAACTGACATGAAGGGCTTTGGGAAACTGGCACAACCAGATTTAATGAGACAATTTGAAAAGAGAATAATATAATGACTTTACAATTTACTAGTACTAAATCAGATTTGCCACTTAATTAACTTTGTTACTATTACCACTACAAACTCACTGCAGAGGATATTCTGCCTTATTGCTACTTAGCTGCAAAGAGTTCTTTTCAAAGCTGATATAGAAACAAAAATAATAATAAAAAATTGGTCCAACAGCTGTATTAATCCAGCTTGCAATGCATTAAAGGGATAGAAATGGTCCAGGAAGACTGCATGTATACTGCAATTGGACAAAAGGATAGTTTGTGCTATCAGAGAATACATTCATCTCCAAGTCTATGCAGTCATTGCATTCCTAATTGAACAGCTTTCTACGGATTTCACAAGTTTTGAATAAGTCTAGACTTGCTTCTCTGGCTTTAATGTTAGTTTTGCCAACTCCAATTGCAGCCAACTCCTTTTTTCTATTATCCAGGAGGAAAAGCATGATAAAGGTTCCAGAAAAATCTTAGTACATAAGGATCACTGTGAACATTAAGTCTTCATTACAAGTGAAGTACCATGCTGTTACACTGCTTGACAACATTGTGAAACTGGATGACTTAAAGCTGCCTTCTTTTCATGTTGTTTGACAGAGAATGAGAAAGCTATTTCATAAATTCCAGGCAATCAATTAAATGTAGCTAAATAAAAGCATTATGTCACAAATGTCGTGCTCCTGGACTCTGACTTTATGTTTTGCATGTTTTGCAACTCATGCGATTGGTAAATATGTTACATAGAAAACAGGGCTACTCACATACAGTCAGTTTGTATTCTCAGTTAGAAAAAACATTCTGCACTTCTTTTCCAGAAGCCTATATTCAGCAAAAGTTAGGCTGAAATAGCTATTCCAATAATTACACAGGAAAATTTAAAAAGGAATCACACTCATTTTAACAACTGTGCCTTTGTACTGTTTGAAAGAAAATCCTGGTTTACAGATATAAAACCAAAAAACTGCATTCAATTTGTACCTTTACTCTTTTCTTATGAGAAAGCCCCAAGACACTGTTTTTATAAGTAGTTATATGGTAGTTCTCTGCATTGTAAAATAATGAACATAGAAGGAAGCTACTTCTAAAATCCAGTTCTTTAAATTCTTCATATAGTAATCAAGCCTCGTAAACTTAACTCTCTGTAAAAGACCAATGAACTTATAGTCACTGTTTTTCAGAGAACTAAAGAAATTATTTACCTCCAGTATGTGTTCTCCCTGCTGCTCTCGATCTAGTTTTCTGGATGTGGTTGTAATTAGCCCTGTAAATATAAGAGAATAATTAATCAAATCCTTCAAGAAAATAATCTGAATGAAGGTTAGGTTCAATCAACAGTTACTGATATCCTCAATCTCAATTTCTTCTTAGGTGGTCTCTTCTATTTTTACAGAATTTATGCTTTCATTAAGGGAAGGGATGAGGGGTTTCTGATCCTTAAAAGCCATGAAAATATTCTTTGCAATCTGTAAACTAAGCTGTTGTAACCCTGACAACAAACACATTTCAGTGTTCCAGCACATCTGTGCATGTTATGTTTCTGACAGAAGTAATGTATGTAATTCTCTTCAGTCTTGTTTTCAGAGGGTGTTCATACACCTTTTTCAAAGGGTGCTTACAGACATTTGCTGAATAATTTCCAATCTCTTCAGGAGAAACATCTATTTGTATTTTTAGTGATAATGACAAAAAAAGGATGACTTGAAGAGATGCAGTAGTGGTGGAAACCAGAGCAATCTGTCTATGTTGGCTTGATTTGGCAATGACAAGAAGTCAAACAGTTGCTGTTGACAATAGCAGAGAATGATCACAAGTTTTTGATTCATGATGTTACATTTTGTCACAAGACTGTGATATGCCCTCGATGCAAGATTAGAAAGGTGTGATGGGTTTTGCTTTAAATGACGAAAGTCAAACAGTCAGAGGTGACAAAAAGACAGTGAAAATTAAATAGAAAAGAATCTTATTTGACTTAATTCTCCATAACAGCGAGTTCAAAATTTTAACTATTGAGTTTAACGAAAAGTCAACTTGGTCAACTCTCAATTAGAGTGGAATGGCCTGCTATGGTGTGTCATGGATGCAGATGCAAGAGATAACTCAGTTTCTTTGCTACATGAAAGCCATTAATCTGTTTGCAGGTACAACTTGGCCCTACAAACACCACTGCTTTGTTCACATGGCACTGAACCTATGCTAGTAAATCCTGCTAGATTCAACTTGGCTTTCCATGAACCAAACACCAAGATTTGTATTTGCCTGGCTTAAGCCACTAGCATCCCATACTCTCTGAAGCAGGAATCCAGCATAGGTTAACTACAGAGAACACTGTAACGTCATGAAACATTTTATCCAAGTATCCCAGTTTTTTACAGTGACAGGAAAGCATTGCCATCTTGATCCTTAATTGTGAAACTGAAAAACAGGGAAGCAATCACCTATTTAAGGATAAAATAGAGATCAAGACACAGGTAGTATACTTCATATTCCTTTTTCCAACTGTAGTGTAAACTTTTTATTAATAAGACCTCACATAAGCAAAATTAAAAGTTTTATATAAACTTATAAAGTTTTCAAGGTTGGTCTGCTCCAATAAAAAAAGCCTTCAATTTTGTCTCACAGCTGATAAAAAGCAGAGCACGTAAGAAAAGGAATAAAGATTTCAATTTCACTTAAAAGAGAAAGGCCAACAGAAACAGAATTGTGTACCACAGGTGCATACCTACTCAATGCATCTGTCAAAATACAGCTGTGGTCTACACATACCAACAAAATAGACAGCCCGTACTATGAACAAAACCTATATAAGGCAATATTAAAAGCTGTCAAATGTTCAAGCAACTATTCTCTAAAAGCACAGATAGTGCAAATAACAGTTGTTTCAATTATGGTCAAATCTTCCCTTGTTTTTCCAGCAATTTGGTTTTCCATCGTATCAAATCCATTACATATCTAGTATTCTAGACAATGATGTATCATCTTATCCTGCTTTATAATTTTATGCTTTTACAGCCCATAGAAGATATGTATACTATTGTTAGGATACATCATTTGGTAAGTTACAAAGAATGGAGGGATGAAAATTAAAACAAACAAAAAACCCAAACCAAAAACAAATAGCAAGGAAAAAAGTCGCATTATTACTGTGAATTTAGGAAGAGGGGGAAGAGAGAGAAAAAAAAGGACGTGACAATTCTCTATTAACCTTCTTGAGATAATATCTTTGCATGGAGATTACAGAGCTGTGAACAATGACAATTGAAAATATTTACTGTCACATATTCTAAACAAAGCTTTAATATCCCAGCTAAGTCTGGTCAAGCCACACATTTTCTTTTCACATGCTCCATTGGAAACAGCACAGGACTATTAATTGGACGTGAACAAGTGGCAGAGCTGATGCCTCATCTGCTTCCCTCCAGCAAAGGGCCTTGTAGTGTCTTCAAGAAACAAAAGTTCTCCTAAATACCCCTTTCTATTGAGTACCTCTGGAGAAAGCCAGCACTAGCCCTCCTCTGAAGCATTTAATCTCAAGACTCACCAGAGTCGCAAGGAAAAAGGGTAGATTTTAGCATAGCCACTAAAGGAGTTGGCTGTTGAATGGTTGGGTTGAGGATGGGGAAAATCTCAAAAAGCATAGGAAAAATACAGTAATCCTAGCAGAAATATCTCATGATGCTTGCATTTCTCTGAATATTATCTGAATATTCATTTCTCTGAATAGTCTACATCCTCTGACAAGAGTCCATCTCTCACAGCAGCATTAATTACATGCAAGAGCAGAAAGACTGCACCTTTCAACAGTTTTCTATTCACCTTTTCCTCATGAAGAGCCATTAAGACTGGAGCCACCACTAGTAAATGACAATTAACACTGGAGAAAAAAGAAAACAAACAAAAAACAACTCAAAAGCTTTTGCTGCAAGCAGTCAAGACAAAATTCTATCATATACCACTACTCTACAGAAGTTTGTTAAAGAAAGTCTAATTCCAGATAAAATTCCTATTAATGAAGTTGGTTAATACAACTCAAATAGGTAAGCAGAAAAATATCCAGTAAGAACAAAATATATATGCTTTGATCTGTTAAAACCTCCACTCTTTTCAACCAAGCATGCCACACTTCTGTTAAAACACTTCAGACCACTAACAGAAGGGCTTAGTCTTCACCATATATATCCTGTATGTTCAGCAGAAACTAATGCCAACAAAGGAAATGTAACACTTCTGGATTTAGAATCACATACACATGCATGACATTCTTTTTATTTAACTCTTTACTGCTAGACACTTTCCTAAGTGCAAATTTAGCTTCAGTGAAGTGTTTCACTTCAGCTTAAGACTGTAAAAAGTTTGGTTATGGTAATCACTACGGCTTTCCCTTTTCCCCAGTTTTTTTATATTATAAAATGTTTAATGCTGCACCAGCAGATTTCATCCATTGTTGAACAGCTTTTCTGAACTATGGCCATGATAATAACGTTGAGTATTCCTATGCAGTGTGGCTTTTAGGACTCCCTGTTAAGAGGGTTGGGGAGAATCTTTGGACCTAATATAAGTCAGCTCTGCAAAAACAGCCACCACTCTGCTCTTTCTACTGAAAACAAAAGTTCTCAAGTTTTTTAGATTGAGCTCCTTCTCCTTTCTGTGACACTTTGGAGATCTCCTTGCTGTGCCCCTCCCTCTAGACAAATAAATGCATGGCCACACTTTTGCATACAGCACATCCCCACAGGAGTGGCAAGTAAAAGATGATTTCACTTAAGCTCTGAAGAAGTCTGTAAAACAATCAGTTTTGAAATCCTTGTTATGAAATGGGGAGAATGTTTATTGCTGAATGAAATGACAGCATGTGTGAGAAACCTGTCACTGTGACAAACCATTCAATTTTGAAGCAAAACTGACTCAGAGCAACTACAACACTTTTTATCAGTAACTTCAACAGACATAAGACATAAACTAAATATAAGGGAGGCCATATTTGGTCAATGAGGTTTTCGTCCTCTGTGTCAAATGCAAACCATAACCAGTCAGCAGAAATGGTTTCTCTGGACTGCATCAGTCAATTACCATTTAAGCTCTCATCAGTCATGATTACTGCAACTCAGTCAATTATTATTTAAGCTCTTGTTCCCCCACTTCAACCTCAAAACTGAAAAATTACTAATGAATTTTTAAGGTTTTTTTTTAACATATTGTTATATATCAAGATCTGTTTACAAGGTCTTAATATATAAACCAGTCTAAAAGTTGAAGGAAGTATGGATTTTAAATTCAGATGTGGCTGTAATGAAAATCTAGTTTAACTAATGCATAACACAATCCAAAAGTACTGAGCAAATTATAGCACACATTCTGTAAGTTGAAGACCAATTATGTCTCCAAGTGATGAACATGGTGTCTCACCTCAAGGCATGATTTCCTTCATTCTCATTTAAGAAATAGTGTATTATATCCAATTCAAGACAGTTTTGCTTCTAGACAGAGGAATATATCTTTCTTTTGTGTGACAGGCTAAGAAGTCCATTGGAATCAGCAGTTTCCTCCTCATGAAAGTACTAGGTGTGATCAAGTCATGTCTTAGACATCTCTCATAATACAGTGAGTGTCAAGTTTCACTGTCTGAAAGTTCTCATGACATTTTTTAAACTGCTTCCAATATCTCAATACTTCCTGAAATATGAACAGAGTGGCTGGTAACATAATAATCCATGACTGTTTCATCACTGCCACTGAAAGACAACAATTTTGTTTTCATTCTTCTTTCAACTGGTTTCAAGTTGACAATGTTTTACACCTAACTTACCTTACAATCAATGACCATGAGAAAAGACCCACATTTCTTTTCTAAAGGTGTTCAGATAAGCTTTTTGGCAAGGCTGTACTCAAATCATGTCTTCTATGTAAGCCAAAACAAGGCTACTCAACCAAAATAAATAAACAGGTTAATAAAAACAGGTCAATGAAAATTAATAGCAGACGGATTAAAGAACAGATTGCAGCTTTGCAGTTGGCAAAAAATAAACTCCATGTCTTACTAGCCATGTACAGATGATGACTGTAAGCTAGACAGCATGCCACTGTAATATATCACCATGAAGGCAGGCTGCTGAGTTAAAAAAGAAAAAAATAGTCCTAACAAGCTATCATACTGGAGCAAGCATATTGTAAAGGAACTGAACAGCTTGGTTTACATGGTCCTAAAGATAGTTCCTTAGCAATTTCACTTGCTTTTCATTCCTAACTCTTCCTGGTTCTAAGCAC